GTCATTTTGGTTGGATATTGCTTGGTCACAATCAGCATGAGATTGTCATTTTTGGTTGGATATTGGTTGGTTGGATATGCTGGCACATTTGGAGTCTTCACTATGTGAACAGCTCTCCACACAGTGCAGCAGCTCGCGGCGGAAGAGGAGATTCTCACACGCGCCGTGTTCTCTTTGCAGGTCTTCTGGGGCCTTCTCCGCCGTTTGGTAGATCAAAAGAAACATGTCGAACAGTCAGACTTAGACTTAGACACACATGTCACATGTTGCACATGTTGGATTACCTGTCACCGTACTCATGACCTGGAATACCCGAAGAAGCGGTTTCAACTGGCCAGATCACCCACCCTATCGGTTCTTCTTCCCCGTTGACGTGTCGTTTCACAACACACACCGCCCGTGGAACAATCCACTGTCCGACTGGCATCGACCCACCATGGCTCCTCCAGGCGACGGGCCGTTGTCGGGCCGGGTTTGTCAGATGGGCGCCCAAGCGACCCCCCTGGGAGTGTTTGGAGCGAAAGAGTGGAGATGAGTGGAGTAAATTGTCAAAGGTATTTGACTGACTGACAGACTGAAGAAAAACTTAGAGCTACACGTGAGAAAGGAGGTGAACACATCCAAAGTATCCTGGTTTGGTGGGCCAAATGATTTGTTTTGGCCGTGGCCGCGGTGATTGTGCAAAGACCGAACTTTCCTGGAACGAGGGAAGTATAGAAACACCACGGGTAGAAACACCTGTGCGATGACCCCCGTCTACTACTACCCGTGGTGTTCGCAGTGGACGAGGGAGAAGTAGGTCATGCACTCAGGTAGGTATATAACTATATTATATATATATATATTACTATTTACTGAATACACATATTTTAGCATCTTTTCATAGCATGTGGAAAAGCCCGTCCCGCTTTTCCACTTCACTGGTGAGTCTGCATTCGGTTGGCCTCACTCGCCTCACTCGCCTCACCGTCGCCACCAGGCTCTGCCCACCCGAACTTCACCGTGGGAGGCCTTTTGGCTCTGGGAGGTGCCACCGTCGCGTCGGTCGAGGTGCCACCGTCGCGTCGGGGTGTCGCTTCGGCGTGAGGCTCCAAAAACAGGTCCGAAAAGGTCCGGAGGTGCTGGTTCACTCATTTTGACTGGAGTTGGGTCATAGGAATGTCATTAAAAAGAACAAAAACACTACGAATAATAATGATGTTCTTCAGGACCAGGTTTGACTGAGTCAGACTGGACCTGTAGGGGACTCCAATTCTGCAGTAGCATGATAAGTGAAGTACCACCTAGCCTATCATTTTTTCAAGACTAAACCGGTGGTTGCGTTCGTTCGGTGCCCAGGTTTGGTCCAAGTTGTTGCCGAGGTTGCAGGGTGGAGAAAAATGGGTAGAACACTTAGATAGCCGGTTGCTTTGCCACCGGTGGTGGAGGCGGGCTAGCTAGACTGCGATGCGATGAATGATTTAGTTTAAGGGAAAATCGGCTGTGTTTTTCACATCCAAAACTATGGCTTTCCTGTAGATCCCGGTCAAAGCAATTCTGGGAGAGGTAGGCCTTGTGGTTTGAGAATCCACATCTCATGGTTGTTTCCATTTACATATAGGAACCGTATCCCTCTTTGGTGTTGAAGAGTCTTCCCACTCTTTCTATATCTTTGATCCTCTATACACGTTTAGCGTCCTTCGACCTTCAACTCTTCAAGGGTTTGTTCCGGTTCAGTCAATATTGTTCTCAAGAGAAAGTGCCAAATGTTTGGACAGCGCTTCGTGAGAGCTACTTACTGTAGTGGTTACTGTAGGTTTGAGGGTGAATCCAGGCATGGTGAAAGGTGGCCAAGGAGCAATGCCAATACCAACACAGACTCTCGCGGAAGCATTTGACGGGATCCAAGTATCACATCGTATCACAACATATCATAAGCATACCGAACTGAATGCTCCAACTGAGGCTTAGACTTCCGGCGTGAACACCTGGGCCCATGCGGATAGATTATACTGAGAAATCGCCCACAACCCCGAGAGATCAGTATACTTCAAGTCAACATGTTCTTCCCAAGAGCTGGGGGGCTCTGGAGATTTAAACAATGCAACCTAATAGCGATGGCCTCCAACCGAAAGAGGGTGTTTTGCTTCTGTGAACTCGTTCGTCCATCCTTCTCATCTGGTCGAAACGACGCCGCCAAGGCTCGAAGGCAGACACGACGAATGGTCAAAGACGAATGGTCCCAAGCACTATCACGAAGGAAGTCACACGTGGTCATCCCTCATGAAGGGTTTTAACATGTTCTAAAGTTTTAAAGATGTTTGGATACAATCCCCGTGAATCTCTGGCAATCCATGGCATCGCTCCATATCTCTCCTCATCTCACGGCGCCGGCGGCGTTACCAGAAGTGAGACCAGTACGGGTGGCCAAGAAAGTCCAGACGGCGGACATCGAGGTGCTCTTGTTGTCGGGCCAAAGCTTGAAGCTGAATACTTTTGAAGGCGCGGCCTGCCTCGACGGCCGGCCTGCCTGCCTTAGGTGTTTTTGGTTTCAACATCGACCCGTGACGTTGACATGGTTTGGTCGGAGTCCGCAATTGACGTCGTTTTGCGGACCGCGGGGCGTCCGTGGGTTTTGTTTTTGGGTGGTTTTATCAGAAGGATGGTGCAAGAAAAGGGAACTGTGAGATGATGGGGGGGGAATGATGTTTGTCTATTTGTATAGGAGATTTGTGGAACCACTTTGTGGTTGCTTAAGTGAACATATATAGTTCTAATGGAACTGCTCGGCTCAGGGCACAAAGATGGACAATGGTGGCAAACAAGCACGTGCCAATAGCAGTCCTAGTTTCACCTTGAGCTGCTGGGACTGCAAACCAAATATGAATGTTAGCCCTGCTTGGAACACACCACGTAGACATACGTAAACAATATGAGACTTGTAACAGCAAAAGTCAACACAAAAGTCAACTCGGGGGGTTCCGGGGGTTCTGGGAACGAAAAGTCAACAGTTGCCACCTTGGGACACTCACGATTAGATTGGTGGGAGGGTTGGCTCTACATCAGTGATTTGGCTCTGAGTCAAAGGGGTTCGGCTCAAACAAATGTCAAGCTGTGAGACGGTGAGACGGTCCCTAGATGAACTCGCTGCTTTTGGAGAGCTCCTTTGTGCTGGATGCTCAAAGCAACTTGCTACCTGGGAGTTCTCCCTTTAGTTAACGTCTTGTTTTGCTTCTCAAGGTGTTTCTTTCTCTCTTCGCATAGATAGTCGCTGATGTGTCCTGAGCGTCCACAGTGGCACTCTTGGACCGCCCAATGGGGCTGCGCGCGGATTTGTTCAGTGGGACGGGTAGAAGAGGTTTTACCATCTATATCAATGGGGGTTTTATAAATCAAGATTCTACTTGTACATGTCTTCTCTCTACTGAGCATCCAGTTTTTCCACCCTTCGACTCCAGGTGACCAATGGGAGCAGCTGCAAGTTCGTGCAGCGGAGATCTTAGAGGTTCCTCCTTGTGCGGTGCAGCTGCTCTCTGCGGGGCAGCCCTTGAAGCTCCATGAACCCATCGACTTAGAACTGTCTGGAGGCATTCAAGTGGTGAAGCTGGATCTCAGCATGCAAGGCGCGATGCGGAGCTCTTTTTTGCTCTCTTAAATCTCCCTTCCTTTTGAACATATTATATATGTTTGTATTTCAACGCATGATCTTGGCGGCTGTTGTTGTGGTCAGTTAAGGGATTGTTTGGGTAACATGGGAATGGAATGGAGGGTGTTGGGCATCAGCATGTTGTTTTCAATCATTGGCCTGCTGCTTTCAGATGGTGCTGCGCTCAGCCCTCCGCAAGCAGTTTTTGGGCAGCTGTTAGTAGCTGATTGAGGGTGGCACCATTTCCAAGAGTTTCTAGATGGAAGGGCTTTGGATTGGTTCTGCCGAAACGCTTCTGACGAAGCCTTTCTCGATGTCCATCGTTTTTGGGCGTCCATTTCGCGTGTTCGGGAGAAGTTGGAAGATCCATGGTCTTCACTCAACAAGCCGTGGGGATCCATGCTCACATATACTCATCCATGCCCGTGGCGCTTCGTTCGTGGTCCTGGTTTTTTTGCCATGCGCACGAGGTGCATGGAAGGTGGATATCAGCCAGGGATACTCCTTCATTTTGACGGTGGAGGGTGCTGATGGCTCCTTTGAGGGAGAATCCTATGGTACCTGGTCCAACATCGAGGTCGATCCTAGGACTGGGAGCTTGAAGGCATCTTGGGTCTCTGGCAAGTACTCTTGGCTTGCAATTAGAGTCGGAAGGCTTTTCAGAGTCAGCAAGTTGGCCAAAGAGTGGTCACTCTCCATGAGACTATATATACGATATACATATATATATATATATTATATATATATATGAGACTCATGATTGACATAGGGGGAAGTATCTTAATCCAAAAGCTAATACTGTGGTGATATGAGGGCCCTGCATTGCGATTGCACCATGTTTGTTGTGTTTGAGAACGTGTGCATGATTTACTATGCTGATTCTTCTTTGGATTGCTCGTGAGGTATGGGAACACTGGCACGCTGAAGGGTACCTTCAACAGTCCGCACGGCGGTATCTACGATGCTTTCTTTGATAGCGGCCAGAAAGTGCACTCGGCAACTTTCAAGAGGGTCAAGTAGTCAAGTGGTGCTGGCTGGAATCTGATCCAACAGTCATTTCTGGAGTTCAATTTCTCAAAGAGAATTGAATCAGGGACTTGGGCGGTTCCGGCATCTCGCACAACTCTGACATACTCCAACAGCACGTTGGTTTTCCCTGGTCGCAGCCAAAAAGATCCGCCACGACATGTGCCAACGGGTCGCGATGCTCACGGTGTATACTGTTGGTGTTCGGCAGGATCCGCGTTCCCAGCCGCGCACGGCTCCCGTGCCTCGCGCGGGAGTCTTGGGCCGTGTTTGGGGCTGTCGAGCTGGTCGAAGATTGAAACACGCCCCCTTTGAGATTTCAGGTCTCGATATTGTATTTTCTACTACACAATCATATATATATATAAACTATATATGACTATAGTAGATGAACCTAAGATTCCAACATATTCCAACTTGCCACCATTTGGTTGCACATGGTTTATACATGTCTTTACGGAAGAACCCTTGTTTTGCTGTTACAAAGGAATTTACACGACCAAAACCAGGGACAGTGCCCGACACGGGCTCGTTGCCCCTGTCGGTCAACGGGTAGACATTCATAGCGCGGATAAAAAGAGTTTGTTTTGGAGCCAACTAGGAGCAAAAGGCATCGCTACTAGGGGCTCCTGGCCCTACTACTAGGAGGAAGGACGCCACTAGGGCCTGGCCTTACTACTAGTAACAAGAAGCTATTTTGGGAACAAGAATTAGAATTCAATTGATCATGCATTGGTCTCTTTTCGGAACGAAACCGAACTGACCAGTGGATTGGGTCTGGTAACCCCCGTCACGTTGGGATCGCCGCAGATGTGTTGTGCCAACCGGGGCGTTGAAGAAAGAGGCCTTGACTTCTGTCAGCCGGAAGAGTTGGAACTGTGCTGCTATGTTGGGGAAAGTCTGCAGTACACCACCCACCTCCACGCGATGTGTTCATCAGAGTGTACTCAAATGTTAGTGCATGCTGCAACAGGTGTTTTTTTCGAGCCATTGAGGATCAGCTTCACATTGAGTGAGCCCAGCGGTGGCAGAACAACTCCGCACTTCACAATTGACACTCGAAAATACAGTGTGAGACTTGTATGGGTTCCAGATGGTTCCTGATTCTCTTCATGCATTGTCCAATTCTCAATCATTTCCATAGCTTCTTTGTTTTCGCTTCAGAACACTGAAATAATCTGAAACATAGCATGCCAGCGAGCCACCCTCCCAGCCCAGCGCGCCCAGCGCCAGCAGCTGGGTTTCCCCGGACAAAAGAGCAGCCGAAAGTATGTATGTAATTGTATGCAAGGGATGGCTACAACATGGTATAATGTACTTTCGAACAAGACAATCACCCAAATCACCGCACAAAAGACTTGGTTTGTTTATGTTTCATGTAACATCAATGATACAGTACATCATACAACATCTTTTTGACATCTCAATGCCGGACGCGTCTAAGGAGTCGCTGTAGACGGGAAACCCCCTTCATGGCGACTCAATGCCAGTGGCCAGCCGTTGGCTTCTGCTGTGCCACCGGACCGCAGGTCCTGGGGACCCCGAAAGGTAGAGGCATCCATCCAACTGGGTGTCATCATTCTGGATCTTGGGAGGGAGAGTTTTTGTTGTGCAAAACTCGAGGATTTCTATGATCTCGTGGTTTGGACCCCACTGGTGCCAATCCAGCTGCCGACAGTACACTCTGAGTTGAGACATTGATTTTTGCTTAATGTTTTGAGAGGTCATTGTCCAATGCAATTCCTGTGTTTTTTTTTCCGCTGTGTAGCTTGGATGCTAGGATGGAGCTTAACATGTCCAAAGCAACTAAGCAAATGCTCTCACTGAAGACTTGAGGGTGGATGGAAAACCACAACAGTTGTCATACTGCAGGGAGGTGGATAGGATACAATAGTGGTTCCTGATAAGATGGAAACTTTCTATCTTAGGAAGACTCGTTTGCTCTAGGTGGTTGAAGCCGATCATTGTTGGTGTTTGAAGGGGAGATCACCAGAAACAATACACAACACCTTTTTTTGGTATTCGTTGTAAATGAAAAAGGGATGAATACACAACAATGATCACAACAATGCATAACAATACACAACACCTTTCATATAGAGTTCTTAGTGAAAAAGGGGCCAGCTGAGTTCTTGTTCTGAGAAGAAACCCCCACGGTGGCGCACTCCGACCGGTGCGTGGATGAATTAGCCTGTGTTTTACGTGTTTGATCGTAGCTTGCAAGCACAGGTGCGAAAGGAAGAGAAAGACATGCCACCTGAGAAGGGATATGAGAATCAGTCCATTTCAGGAGTCCAACAGGAAGATTTATTACAGGGGGGGGAAGGAGGGAGCACCTTGTTTTGAGGTGATACAGAGGGGATAAAAGATGCCAAGAGTAGCTAAAGAGTTGAATAAGCTGTGCGTGTTCAGCCCATGTCCGACATGATCAAGTCACGAGGTGGATGGCAAAGAAGCAATGTTATGTTATATATACAGTTTTTGGTTTCCAGATACGCCCGGGAAGATTAACATGGAACCTGATGGCATGGACCTTTGGAAGACCAATTTTCCTCTACAAACCAATACATACCAGTGATTTTCAGGTTCCAATGTTAGTCTCTTCCAGGGCGTACATGGATACCTGGTGCATCCTGGTGCTTTCTCGCTTCCTGACATCATTTGCACCTGAAAACACAGCTACCTGGCGCATCCCTCTCGGAGAGTCTCAGGCATTGGCGCCCATGCGCAGGACGCCCGTTTGACATGGGGATGGGGTTGAGCAGGCTATAATAAACTGTATAGTAAGGTCAAAGTCTCTTCGCATGTGGCTGTTCCTGCAGAGTTCAGAAACGGAGGACTGGTGACTTTGTGGTGCTTGAGAACCCCTTCAAGTTGCATCAGACACGCCATTGCCATTGCTTATCTCAACACAAGTTTGACAGCATTTGCATTTGTGTTGAATGTCGGCTGAGTTCGCTTGCGATTCAAGCACCTCACAGTGTCTCCAGTATGGTAGGGCTTGCATTGGTGCTATTGCTTGGGTTACATTTGTTCAGGAGAGTGCCGCTGGTTGCAGGCGTGGTGACACAAGCACAATTGTATGCCATGATTTTCTTCACTTGCTTGGCAATGGACAATCTCACAATATCAATATCTCATAATATACTGTTCACTAAACTGTCTTATACAGGGCATTTTGACAGTCAGAAACCTACAGAGCAAGGTAGACTTTGACTTGTAGACTTTGTAAGCGTTTCGCTTTCAGATGCCAGCCCATGTGCTGGTCTTCCCAGGTCTTCCCAGGCCGTTGTTTCAAAAAACGCAGATCTTCTCATCCTGGCCGCCGTATGGCCGTACTTCTCGTCTTCTCGTAAAGCCCTGCACCTCGTTGTTCAGGTATTTCCATGAGACTGCTTGTGCAGCGGAGCCCTTTCGCAGCTTCTTCCAGGACGAGCCGCTGGCGAGCCGCTCGCAGCGCGGAGAACGGGTTTGCGAGCCGTGGCGAGGTGAAAGGGACTGGTGGTGACGGTGGGGGGGGGAGTAGACCGAGTAGACCCTTAGGCCACAAGGCAAGACCCTGAGGCCAACCTGGCAATGTCTCTCATTTCGGATGTAGGACGTAGAAGATGTTTTCCACTTCATTTTTATAGGGGTTATAGAAATCCCCCTTTGATGCAAGAGATTTGGAACGAGGCGACATGTGGAAAGCCAAGCTATTTAAACCGTGTATTGGGGATCTTCACCACATAACATACCACAAATCTGATCGTAGATCATGCGAGAACCAATCTCAAGCTGCTGAAAATGCTGATTGGCGAGTTCTTCTTCCGCAAAAACAGGATCGGGCAGTTTTCCAATCCCATGAAACACCGCACCTTTGCCAACATAGAATCTCCATAGTAACCAAGGGACAGGCTGCAGGACAACTTCCTTTGGCAATAATACATACAGCATCAATATGATGTCTTAATACGCCGGGTATTCCCATCCCAACAGCCTCAAAAGATCAGCACTATACTGTATATCTATATATAGTTTAAAGGTCTCTGAGTCATTTTCACTATGCACTCTAGAGCTATTACAATATAATATGCGACATATTTAATCATTTAATAATACATGGTTTTACAATCTATATATTTATATATTACATTGTATTATTATACAATATTACACACATATTATACATTATTTTACCATTACGCACATGTTTCTTCGGTTCTGCCTCCCCCATGTTCGGTTTCCGGCTGCTTTCCTTTGCTCCGCCACTTCGCCCAAACAGCCATTGAAGGAGTGGCGGAAGAAGGCGACAGACCACGGGCGAAGCGTGAGCCGACGAACGCCCACGCCCGAACAGCCTCTGACTCGAGCGCTGAACGACCCCTGATGAAGGGTGGTCCAACGTACCAGGGGCCCTACAAACCATCAAAAAACTATGGTTTTTGTATGTGAAAACGGTTATGTTTCATGGGTGTGAGGGCCACTGGTAGGGTATGTGGTTAGCAGCCTTGACTTTAATTTTTCAGCTGAACTCAAGGATTTGCTACAATTTGAGACAAACCACCCAATAGATCATGATCAAGTTTTCAAGCATCCTTGCGGTTTGGGAGCCGATAAACGGATGATCCTGGTAGGTTCATAATGGTACTACCCCCACAGGTCTAGTCTGACGTCCATCCTGGTTCTGAAATGTCCTGAACCCCCCATGTTTTGCATGACCAACTGCAGTAAAATGAGGTCGAGTTCTGACCTACGTAGGGTACCTTTTGAGAGTAGCCTCCAAGACGCCACAACATAAATAAGCAGATACAAACTGGACAATGGTTGGCATACGTGTACTTCCAAAAAAGGTTATGTCACAGTATTACTGTAGTAGATCTTCCTGGAATCCCAAAACAGCCTGACCACGACCAGGAGGGCCTTGCTAGGCAATGAAACAGATTCTCTTCTGCCTCAACGGCACCTGCTGGGCGGGATGGGTGGCACTCCACGGCGGCTTCGAGCCATAGCCAAGCTTTTTTTAAATCTTCTTTTCTTTCCCTAGGGATCCAAGTACCTTCTCAAAAGGTGATTGGAGACACTGTTATGTAGGTTTGTAGGGTGCAAGTACCTTCTAAGAAGGTACTTGGATCCCTAGGGTTTGAATGGGATGAGGTCACCCCAACCACTGCCATAGCCCGGCATCGATCCACATGGTGAAACCCGTGATGCGACAGCCTGCTAGACAGAATGTTGGCTTTGCAACAACCAGGAGTCGCTGGCTCAGATGAAAGCTTCTGAAGGCGATAGAGGTCGGGTATCGTGATGCTTCCACCACCAGCTGTATCGTCCACAACCAGTGATGCTGTTCTCAACATCTGTATAGACTCTTTGGGGTTGCATCATTCTTTCTTTTGCAAACCATGTGATGCTGTAGACTCTGTCATTTTTTGGGTTGCCTATGTTTATCCCATATGTACATATGTTGCAAACAATGGTCATGTCATTTTTCCGCGTCGACTTCAATCGATTGGGCACAGCACTTGTGGCTCCGCTCCGAGGCTGGTGCTCAGCGCCAAGGAGGTCTTGAAGGACGTCGACATGGGCGCGCGAAAGGGGAGCCGACAGAGGGAACACAGCGGGGAAAGCGAAAGACGAAAACTCAAGGGGTGCTCCGGAGGTTTGGTTCCAGTAAACAAAGAGTTCTGAATTCAAGTGCTAGTATATAATTAGCTACTAATTAGTCCTATAGTAGCAGGGTCCCAGAATGGCCCAGGTATGCCTTAGTAGTAGAGTTCGCCCTCCTCTATGCTGCTGGAGCCTCGCACAGAATGCAAGCAGACAGACAGCACTGACAGCACCATAGAATACAGATGTCATCAGATTTCCATCAGCCGGCGATTCCTTGTCGAGCTTGACCATCCCGGAATCTGTGACCCACCCACATCGGGGATTGTGCCTTTGAACATTGCAAGTCTTTGGTGAGCTTGACCATCCCAGACTCAGTGACCCACATCGGGGATTTTGCCTTTCAGGGTTGCACATACTTGGCGAACTTGATTATCCCAAACTCTTTGACCCGACAAATCGACTGGAAGAGAAGCAGAAAAGTGTTCAGACTGTGCGTCTGTTGTTCGTCTTGGAGAGCCAACTGCTTTGGGCTGTTCACATTGGGTGAAGAAGAAGCCCTCGGGTGCCCAGCCTGCAGCCTTTGGAATGTTCGAGGTTTGGAGGAGTGACGTGCCCGCTTCATGCGGCCAGCATATGCCAGCATGTGGATTTAAAGAAGACATCACAACAATTTGTATGTGTTCTTATTTGTTGCGACTTAAGAAAAAAGGGGTCCCCAAAAAAAACAACAGAAGGAGAAGAAGGAGCAATCATGTTTCCCATTTCGATTTCCTCCCCCAGGCATTGATGGCCTCGCCCTCTCCAGCCAGTGAGATCCCAGGACTTCCTCTATGTGGAACGGCCTGAGATCCCTTCCTTGGGACAGGACAGGGTCCATACGGTCGACGCGTTTCAGGAATGAAGACGACACTCTTCTGGTGCTAGGAGTAGCGTTGATCGAACTTGAAGAAAATTGAAGGAACGTATACTGTATACTGTGGTTGTAGAGCTTGGCCGCTTTCCGAACTCAAAGCAGATGACCGAGAATCTAGCGTGCAGAAGACTAGTCAAGTCGTTTAGACATGCCAGCTGAAATCCAAGAAGGCAGGATAATGTACATTGATTCCTTGGTATATGTTGGTTTATATTTGGTCCTGCACATATAATAAGATGTGTGTCAGTGTATTAATATTGTATATAGATTGTTATATATATATATTATATATTTATATTCGTCCAAAATTATATGTTTTTTGTTGATGAAGATGACACATAGTTTTAGTGACTAGCGGAGCATGGACCAACGGGGTAGCAGCTTTGCCAACAGGAGAAGCATCAACTTGATCGAATTGGTGGCTTGTTAAGTTATTCCCTTGACATGGACCCACGTCGTTTGAGGAAGATGAATGTTATATTACAGCATATAAATATATATTTAATTTAACACAATCTATTTTTGCATTTGGGCAAACATGACCTCAGACTCAGAGTTCGCTCAGGGTTCACGGGGCGCCCATATTGAAATCAGCATAAACTGCTCAGTCGTTGCACGGAAAGCACAGCGAGCCTGCAAATCCCAACATGCCGGGGGCAGCCCGTGGGACGCGGGGTCACAAGCAGCCCGTGGAAGGACCTGGAACTGCATGGCACCTGGAAAGAGCCAGAGACCCAGATTGACTGGATCAAATTGACCAGTTCCTCTTGGATCATTGGGGAATGGGTGGGTGGTGTTTCATGAGCGCATCATGATGGCATCATGGACTCATTTGAGCAACGTGATCAGTGGCACTGGAGGACGTGCCTGGCGGGCTTCTTGTTGGCGCTGTTTGCGACCACTCGAAGTCAGGTGCGCACACGGGAGAAGGGGAGGGCAACGGAATTCATGGGTTTCTGTTGTAACGATTCCCAGGCCATCCATGTAACATACTTATCTACATTACATTGACTGTCATTGACCTTTATTGAGATGTTAAAACAACCTGGAATCACCACAACATGTAGGGAAACATGGTCCAGTCCATTATTTTGTTGGGATACATTTTTCTGGGTCCCAGTCCCTGAGAACTAGAGCCAGTCCGCCACATCGGATGTCTTGTTTCACGACTGGTCGTTTTGGTCGGGGTCATCGACTTTGACATTCTTCGGAGTGTTGTTGGGCCCCCAGTTGTACGGTCTAAGTGAATTCGGTATCTCACTACGTAGAAGCCTGCCAGTTCCATGTGGCTCCATGATTGGAATCCGATGAAGAGTTTTTGAGAGTGCTTGCTAGGAGTCGGTAGCGGTAGTGCTATAGGCTGCCTGCCGTGCCGTGCTAGGAGTCCGAGGCGTGGGTCTTCGCACCTTCAAACTCCACTCGATCATTGGACCCAAGTGGACCCTCAGGTCTTTCAGAGGACACTCCATGCCTTTGTCGTCCTTGTGGGTCACCCGCAGGGTTCCACCACTGGGGAATTGGCCGAAGGCGTGCCCCAAAATAGAGGAGTTGGGACCGGGACCTTGGAAGATCTTGGAATCCCAACGTGTCAGAAACCTGGAAAACAGGGTTATGGGATGACCAACCAAGCTTGGTGGGTTCAGGGATATTTTTCCACGAGGTTTGGGGCACCTCCGGCTTCTTCTCCAGTCCGTGCAGCCTTGGCGCTTCTATGATGTAGGCCGGGCAGCCCAGGTGTTGACTGCCTTGGACCACACAGAGTGGCTGCAGTACTTCAATTGCTCTTCAACCGCCACAGCTTTAGGAAGGATACATCAGCATGACATGTGCAAAACCCCATGAAACCGGCGGTCCAAATGTAAATAACAACTAGCTCTAACGACCCGAAAAGATCGGCCAGAGAACCGCCTGGCAGACGTGGAGGTTCACCGCACGTGAACGGTGAAAACCGGGTGGATGAGGTGAAAACCGGGTGGATGACGTCTGAGGCTTGTCCTTGATAAATAGCTGCGCCTTTGACGAGGCGAAGAAGCCGTCCTCGGTGTTGTACAGCCGGGATGGAGGAAGATCACTATAGATTTTGATGTAGAACTGTAGAACCATTATGACCACAAAGGAAACCATAATGATCACGATTATTAGTTTTAGAACCATTCTCACTATAGTTTTTGATCACAAAGGGTTGCCTGCAGTTGTGTAACATTATGACCTGAAGCATTGTGAGCACGTGAACAAAAAAAAAGCCTCCGTGGCCCCAGTATGCCCTCACAAAAGTATGTATCACCCTCACTGCCAGGTCTCCGAAATGCTGGCTCATACTGACGACTTGAAAATTACAGGTTGTTTTTGAAGTTGGGTGACTCACCATCCTCCCAATCGAACTCGCCATACTCAGCTGTCCCACCCTCGAACTCGCTCACGCTCCGTGTGGTGAATGAACAGGCCACCTTCTACGCACGCCATGGGATCACCACGGCACAGGCGCACCGACTTGCCGGAGGTGACGAAGCGAGGAAGCCCCGGTGTTTTCACCGCTGTTGTTGTATATAAAGGCTTCTGCAAACAGATCCTGGAAGCGGCATGGGCAGGGGTGTTTTATTTATGTCAACATAATTACTGTCAGATGGTCATCATGTTGTCTTGGCTGGAATTTGTTGTTCACGTGTTCCTTTATTCTGTCAGTCCACAATCCACCCGATTTTTTTGTTTGGACCGTCAGCTCGTGAATCAGTATGACTCCCTTGATTGATGCATGGCACCATCAGGATGACCATGACAATTTTACTGTAAGGATTGACCAAAAAAGGTGGTTTGCACTCCACTTGTGTAAGCCAAGACTTTCTTGTATCCTGCAGAGGACTATGCTTATGGTGACATCAAGTGACCTACTTGGCTTTTCTTAAGGCACCTTAAGGCGACCTAAACCATCCAGTCTGGGGGTGCGTCCAATGGAGATCCCTGTAGTCTATCGGACAGCCAGACTGGAGGGGCCCGGAAATGCAGATGCTCCAAACTTGAGCGGTTTGGCAACTTTTTTGGTGCTTCAGAACGTGCCGAAGAGGTGGACAGCCGCTGCTCTGCTCCAGGTGGCCTACAATTTCTACGTTTTGGGTCTCCCATATCATTTGCCAGATCCAGTCCTACACCTACAGGCGGGACAGCGACACCGGACACCGGTGGGAGACGGTGGGATGAACCAGCATGAGACGGACTGGTGGGTGCAGCGGAGGAACACGCATGAAGCATTGGGCCAAGTTTGTTTGCCCTTCCAAGACACACCGGACGTATGGACTAGTTACGTACATAGGATTCATGACCCTAATGTATCCAAACAGAACGAACAGGTGTTTGTACCCTGGAAGAGACCACGATCCCGGTGTCCGGTTAAACCACTGACCCATTGGGCCATCGTCGGAGGCACCGGGACGCCAGCCACCGGTGATCGCCGGTTCAAGCCCCCCATGGGCCACGGTGGTCGCATCGGTTTTCGCAGTGGCACCTAGAGTCTGGATGTTGTTTTGACTGTGGTTGCGCTGTTGCGCGGTTTGCATCTTCTACAGCTTGGGGGTTGTGGTTTTGGTTTTGAGCCCCGAGGCTGCCAGAATCTCCGTGAATCTCGGATCCTCACCAAACCCTTTAGATCATGGCAACATAGACTCTTGATGAATAATCCCCCCCATATGAATATATAATAATTTATATATGAAGAATTTATATGAAGAGGATGTCCAATTCAAATGGGGGTTATTCATCAAGAGTCAAGAGTCTACATTAGTGTCTACCATGTGTGGCACGTCTCCACGCGGCACAGACTCTCCTCCAAACGACCTCAGGCGGCTGAGCTGAGCGATGGAATGCATCGGCAGGAGCTCGGCGGAGCGGATCCAGCATGGCCATGGCCCAGTCTTACCCACCCTAGGGCTCCTGGCCTACCTCCATTTCGCAGATGGTTGGGGTGGGTTTGGGGGGTCCAACCACCCACCGAACCTGAGGATATGCGCGAGCTGAGTCTTACCCAGATCCGGGCCATCCATGTCGTAGGCCCCTGACTCTCTACTGCAGTGCCTTCTATATAGTGGTGACTGGAATCCGTAGCTATGGCTAGTATAGGTCCCCAAGATAGAAACACTATGAAAGACAATTTCAAGACATTAGACATTCTGAGTGGGGATCTACTTTTCTTCTATTTTGGTGTACACATTCAATGACATGCACGAATGCACGGATCAAACGCGCTAGGCTGACATGGCCTCAGCGGGACAATCGGTGCCAGGGTAGACCCGCAAGCAGATTGGCATTTCACTTGGGGACAGGCAGTGTCTTAAACTGTCTTAAATACCCGTATTGTGGTGTTAGGATTTACTGAATATGACATGCGCTGACATGCGCCTGTTATGCAATGATTGGGTGGGGCTGTGGGGAATATACAATATATATATATATATAGTTGGACCTTTCTGCAAAGTCTCTACCCATTGGACCCTCCAAAGTCAGCGACAAGTCGAAAGAGGGCACACATGAGCGGCATGGGGTTTGGGTAGAGCCATGTCAGATGTATCCACTAGGTAAACCTTACCCCAACATACCCCAACGTCCCCTGCAGGATGCGCCCTTGGTCATCGACGTAGGCGGGAGCTCCATGCTGATCCCAACCCCTTTTGGCTGGAAAATCAGATGTTGAAATGTGCGGACGGAGGGTGACGGACTGTACTCCTATCTCGTTGATTTTGCTTTCAAAAGACCTCGGTTCCAAGGCCGAACATGGTGACGATCAAACTGTGGGGTATCAATTTCGGTGACTTCGAAGGGGGACATATCGGAAAGTGTTTTGTTCATTTTGCGTCCACCAACCTCTGACATCCTCTGACCAAGATGGGTTAAAAAAACCACCAATTCGCCACATCACATCTCCGCCTCACGAGGCATGGGTCTTGGAGCTGACTCGTCCCTCGGCCATGGTTCCGGGAAGGCCCACAGGCCCCACACAGGACCCTGTGGGACTGGCATGTGACTCAGAATTCATACCCAGACGCTCCCAGACGCTCCATGGGACCAATATGATATGCCTACATTGGCCCCCGAAACCACCCCGGCAAATATGGCAGTCCCATGGAGCGTTTGGGATATGATCCAATCATATCCAATCCAATTGATCAGTTTTGCAAACGGATGTGAAACGGATGCTTCCTGCAGAATGTTGCAGAAACAGATGTAAAAAGCAGGGGTCAATTGGTGGCATGTATCCCAGCCCTGTGGAGTGGTTGGGAATTCGATCGACCTCCACTTTTCGAGCTTCTCGGAGGGTCCGGCGCGGTCCGAAGAGGCCTGGACCTATCCGACCGGCAGCAGGGCGGGCTAAGCCTAGCCATATTGGAGGCCCAGTTTCAGGGCTGTAGAAGGTATGTAATGTCATGTGTGATGTTGTTTATGTTTATTTTTTAAGTGCCTTCAATTTGACAAAGTTAAATCGCCTATAAGTACGGTGAGACTTGGACTTCAAGGCTTTTACAAGACTTCTCCACATCTCTGAACTTGGGCCGGTTCCAGTTCGCTTCGCCGTCTCGTCTCATCCTTTTCGGGACGTCTCCACCGTCCTCTGCGCGTTGCGTCTCGTCTCGTCCGACTCGTCGTCCGACTCGTCTCGTCCGTCTCCAACTCGTCGGACGGAGTCGGGTGCGTCTACCTCTCGCCCCGAGGCGTTACTACCTCTCCCAAGGCTTCCGAGTCGTGGCGGTGGAGGCCAACCGAAAGGCCATCGAGGCGCGGCGCCGGAGGAAGGAGGAAGCCCGGGGGGCGCGGGAGTTCGGAAGGAGTTCTGGGGTGGTGGTGATGCAGCAACTGGAGCTCGTCTTTTGAGAGGGACGTAGACGGTGTTAGATGAAGAATTAGACATGCGTGTTCACACGCTCCAAAGTCACATCACCCTGAAAGAGGGAATCCCTGTTGAAGTGACATTACTGGTACATGATGCTGCATGATGCGAACCATGGTCAGTCTTCCAATCCGGGCTGGCCGAGTTCCTCGAGTTCCTCGGTTCGGTGGGTGTTTCGGGTGTTTCGCCCGAAGACCTGAGGAGATGAACGTGGAGCCCCAAACGAATTCCCATATACCCTGGGAGTCAAAGACAAAAAGAATGATCTGACTAGGGGACCCCAGTCCAGGAACTTCCTTTACATCAGTCGGTCAAAATAGAGTCGAACAGGACTTCTAGCTACATTGACCCCCTGGCACCACCACCCCTGGCCGTTTCTCGGCAGTCCTATATGGCAGTCTCATAGGTGGAGCGGTGAGGGAGCGTTTGGGAATGAGTCCCGACCGCGGGGTCGGCCTTTGATCAGGTCGCCATGACCATCGATTGGGTGAAGCCTCTCGTCACTGAGCCGTTGCTGGGGGGGAAGGGCCGAGCCGAGCCGCTGGCGGGGGTGCTGGACCCGGTGAGAAAGCGTTGAATGACATTGAAAGACAGACATGAAACAAAGGGACGGAGGAAATGCCTTTGTAAGATGGTCGTTCCAATTATATCATATTATATCAAGAGGTTCCACAGGTTCTCTATGATTCTATATATATATATATATCTATTTGATTTGACAACCCTTTTGGACGTCAGGATCATGTGGGGTTGCTAGAGAATCATTTGTTTGCAAACAATATATATTATATGTGCATGGTATATGTATGAGGCTTTGACTATGGGGCTTCTGTTTGGTTTCTTGGAAGAGCACCAAACTTTGCTGCCGCCTCTTGGTTCTTCACAAGAGACTTGCTGAACACACTGAGAGACATTGGGATATCGGCAGATATCAGCTAGAACCAAAATCAACAGGACAATCATCTCACATTCGTGAAGGAGCCATGGCAACGACCAGAATTTCAGTGCTGCAGGCAAGCGGTGAAGTCATTGTTCTTGAAGTCACTGCGGAAACGACAGGCTGTGAGCTTAAGCAACAGATCAAGGACATGCAGCCTTGGGATGAGCTTACTCGCAAGACTACAGTTGTGGAGATAATCCTTGAAGACAATACTTTGCTGGCCAATGATGCAAAGGTATTGGACGCAGGCATTGCTGGAGTTTCTGCTGTGAGTGTTGTTTTTAAACCCAACCTATTCATATCCTCCAACCAAAAGGCGCTCCGCAGCCGGGGCAGTGTCATTGACCGGGAACTGTTGCTTGTGGTCGAAGTCCCAAGTGGCCAGACTCAAATTTGTACATATGCATTCACAGGTTGCGACACGATAGCCAAGTTGACCATCCCAGACTCAGTGACCGACATCGGGGATTTTGCCTTTCACGGTTGCCGCTCTCTGGCGAACTTGACCATCCCGGACTCGGTGATCCACATTGGGGTTGGTGCCTTTGCGGATTGCCATGCTTTGGTGGACTTGACCATGCCAGACTCAGTGACCCACCTAGGGGAATTTGTTTTCGTGAATTGCAGCTCTTTGGTGAGCTTGATCATCCCAGACTCAGTGAGCCACATTGGGGATCATGCCTTTCACGGTTGCAGCTCTTCGGCGAACTTGACCATCCCGGAATCATTGACGCACGTTGGGTATGGTTCCTTCATGGGTTGCAGCGGCATTGAGCTGAATTGAACATGCCAGCCTCAGTGACCGACATTGGCGATCTTGCATTTCGGTACTGCGGTTCTTTGGTGCGGGTGTTGACAGTGTCCATCTTTGGGACCCAGGTGCGGAGAAATGCTTATCTTGGCTGCCAAAGAGTCGTAGCAAAATCGTGTCGCTGCAACAGATTTTGTGGCTCATAAGTGACCCCCAAGTAGATCGGAAAGAGCATTTATGAATCGTACCTATAGCCGATTTATGCCGTTTACAGAATGGGAGGACCACCTGACTTTGGGCAGAAACCACTGGAGTCGCTGGAGCTTAAAGTCTTTGACTGTCCATAATGGTCAAGTTTGCGCAATTTTAGTGCTTTTGCCTCAGTCTAAAGATAGGCAAATCAATGAAGTATTGTAACACAAGTTAGTAGCCAAAGCGACTCCAATGTGCGGCAATACCTTGACTTGGAGACTGGGTAGTGCTGACTCGGAGACTTGTCCCTCCTTGTCCCGGAGTCCTGGCCCACTTGTTTTTCTTTTTAATGTTTTTTTTGGTACCATGTCCAGCGATGTCCAGCCATGTCCAGCCATGTTCGCTGTGTGTGTGTGTGTGAAACCCTTGTTGCGAGTGGCATGAGGCGTTCAACTTCGTACGTCTCATCCCCCGAGTGTGTTCTCGTTCGATGAAGAACCAAGCGGAAGAACCGACCAGGTCGGTCGATCGAGCGGAAGCCGGTGAACGCAGGAAGAAGAACCAATCACACCCACACCGTCTCCGCCGGATTCGAGGATCCGGGAGGTCATGAGGTGGGAAGTCCTCAATTGATTCTACAGTTAATGTCTCTCAAATGTCGCGTCCATGCGGAAGAAGATAAGACATCACAGTAGTGTCCAGGTGTCAGTGATGTATCCAGGTATCCACAGTAATGTCATCACTGGGTCTCAGACACCTGTTGCGACCCGTAAAAGCCGTGGCACGTGGACGGCAGGATCAGTTCGGATCCGGTTCGGGGCTCGGGTGAACATCGGTTTCACAGACCTGCCATGGTTCGTGAAGATCTGGAGCCCGGGTGGCACACTCCATGTCACTAACATGGAAGTGAAACATGGCTGCCAAGGCCATTTCATCACATTTCCCTCTACAAGTGGTGGGATCCGGCTTCCATGTTAGTTGGTGAGTCGGAGGGTATAAGTTCGAATCTCTATAGGAATCTCCACGCATGTATATTGGGGGTGCCATGCATGTATATGGGGGGTGCCATCGCTCCTTCACTCGCTCCGGACTTCCAGGCCTTTGGTTTTGGAGGGACGGCTGAGCTTCCTTCATGCGGCCGGGAGACACGGTTTTGGAAGGGGGGCTTTTTGATGGCACCCTAGTTTTCAGCCACATCCACTCATCCACATCTCTTCGAAACCTCTCCTGAAGTTCAGGGGGGTTGTAGTTTGTTCCTTCTCAACAGGTTTTGCAATCTTTTGCCAATCTATAGTCCATAGTGGCTTGAGAAATTGCAAAGAGTAGCAAACTACGCTACTTGTCCAGATCAATCAAGCAAACAACTAAAAAGACCTTTGGACTTCGGAGGTTCCGTTTTTTAAAATTTTTAGGTCGCTATAACCATACGTACCGTATCCATATATAGTATTCAAGGTCAGAGCCATCATTGGTCCCACTCTCTTGAGCAGTGAATCAGGTGGTTTCATGTTGTTTAAATACAAGGTATTGTCATCTGGTTTGGCTGTTTTAGAGAAAATGCCGGACATCTCAGTTCTCGGATTCCTCAGAAACCTGGTCGTCCAAAGGTTCACCACATGGTGCTGTGATGTTCATCCAACAAGTCTTTTGGCTCCAGATGATTTGTGTTGTCTTTGGGAGTATGCCACCCTGAAATAGGTCAGTGACCCAAGTGACTCTTCTCAATTAACTTGGGTCCTTTGTCAGGAAAAAGCATCCATCCAACTGTGTGCACTAACTTCACATGACATCGTTCAAAGACTCCACGCATCCCACCCCAACCAGCCTCCTCCTCACACTCCCACTCCCCCCCGAACCCTAACCCGGCTACGCCAACCACACGGGCGACGCGCACCCAGCACCGCACCGCACTGCCAACCCCCAAACCACTCAGCACCCGCCACCCAGCACCGCCCTGCCGGCAGCCCACTGCCAGCCCACCGCGTCCCCAGCACGACGCGTCCCGCGTACGTCACGTCGACGACGCTGTGGCTCGACGCCATGGCGCTGTGGCTCGACGCCGATCCGTCGGGCTTGACCTGGACCGGTCTCGACTGTGACGACGACCTGGCCTTGCTTTGCGCCGTGGCCCTGGAGCGACGAGGGTTGAGCGGTGTGCAGATCACAGGCGGGGGAGTAGGAGACGTGGGGGGGGGTGCTGGGGGTGGGAAGGGCCAGAGAAGGAGGTGGACATGGGGATGACTTTGAGAGTTGCAGGATGTTGCCGGCAGAGTTTGGAGGGAACATGGAGATTTTTTTTGATGCAACTGAACCGTTTCTTTTTCCTCTCCGCCGTTCAAGGTGTCAATGCTGTTCATGCAGCAGCGCCTCTGGAGAGTGGCAAAAGGAGCTAAATTCAACAAACATAATGAATCAAATGCGATTATATAATCGCTATAAATGAAAACGGCAAAATAGTGAAGTTGACAGGCAATTTCTATCATGACCCTGGCATGTTGGGAAGTCGGGCCTGCGTTGCTTGAGACTTCCTTGGGAAAGGCCCCGGATGATGTGTGAGTAAGATTGAGTAAGCTAGTTTACTATTCTCAACCTTCAACCATTGAGACTTCCCACCGTGGGCGTGCTTCGAAGCGGTACCCTCCATTTTTCCCGGGTACGGCTTCGAAAAGCATTCCATTGCAAGCGCCAGCATGGCCGCCTTTTGCTTGTAGGAATCCTGCTTCACAACCTTCAGTACCCGACTCTACACGTCACAACAGTGAGACCTGTTAGGGCCCTTCCCGAGGTCCGACCTTCGTTGTTTCACAGGCTCAACCGATGCTCTAGACTTTGATTCACGACTTCTCGCCGATGTCCGAGCCACCTGATGTCCACAGGTGTCACCTTCGGCGCAGTGAACCCGGCCGTTTTGAACCTGCGGCCGGTTCGATTGATTGTGCGCCAGGTCTCTCCATTTGTGGCGGCAATGCGCCGTTAAGTCACACCTGGCCCAATGCCTTGCAGCTGCTGCAGAGCATCTCCTCTGTGCCTTTGGTGAGCAACAAAAGAAACCAAGCACGAGGGACAATGTAACATAGTATCCATGCAAATCATATGGTATTTTAAATCCAAACTGTGCGTTATGACTTGCATGGCATGTTTCGGAGATAGCCTCGGTAGGGGTTGGCGGATCCTGTGTTTGTTTTCTCATGTTTTCGCCCTGGGGTGATGTTCCACTGATGGAACCGAACGCATGGACTGTCTTTGTTAGGATGTAGGACAGATACAAGAAAGATCAAGAAAGTATTTATAAAACACACACACATATTTTTGTGAGTGCAATTATACTCAACATTTTAGTCAAGGCTTTTGTGATCATGAAGCAGGATTCATAGAGAGAGAGACACACACACACACACATACGTTCCGTAGGTGTCCGTGCATTGTACGGGTGTCCGTTTCTGCGCGGGAGGCATTAAACCACCTAGTTCAGCGTCCACGTTTTGAGAACCTCCTTTTGCCGGCAGACCTTAATGGACCATTACTTAGTAGGGCAGAAGGGGAGGGCGGGTACAGGACATTCCCCTCCTTGTCACGTGTGACAACACTTGGGCGGTGCCAACACATGTGTTTCTTTCCTCCTTCCACTTCTTTGCCCCTGCTCGCGATGTCCTCGCGTACTCGCGTACCTCGTGGTTGATGTCCTCGCGCCCAGGATTGGAAGATCTTCAAAGGTGCCGGCTGGAGACGCATGCGACCGGCTTCTCAGCCGTCCTTCAGAACGCCTGGGGAGGGAAAGATCGTTTCTTTTTTTCGGGGTTCCGCTTTTTCCACTACACGGACTTTGTCTGACACGGAACACGTGTTCCACGTGACCGTCACAGATCGGTAGAGATGGCAGTGACCGGTTCCGAAGAGCGAGTGGCAACGTCGCCATGTGAAGGTGTTGACGTCGTCATCTTAAGATGTCTTAAGGACTTGTGACTAGAGCACCATGGCTGATTAGATCCGAGCTTTCCACAAGCTTTCCATGTCAGAGGAGTTGAAACCTTTGGAGTCCATTGGGTTAATCAATGTTTATCATATGTTTATTTTATATCTATTAAAATTGGGATCGGGTAATGATGTGCCAAGTGATACCACGTTTATCATGGTTCATTTTGTATCTATAAATATGTAATGATCGGGTATGATCGGGTCATGATGTGCCAAGTGATAGCAAGTGTAAGTCAAGTCTGAAAGTCAGCAAAGACCTTCCTTTGGACAGATTCACCCCCCACGTCCTTCTCTCCAGTGATGCGATGGGACATGGTCCTGGTCCATCTCTTTCAGGCCCTGTCAGGCTCCGTCAGAAAGACGTGCACCCATTCCGAAGTGAGTTTCATGTTAACATTGAGGAACTTAGTGTACATGTTACACTAAGATACATGTGGATGCTTTTTTCGCCCAGGAAAGCCTCAAAGGCTTCACCTCATGTCTCATGATGTCAGGTACCCCTCAATGTTTGAATCGCATACGAAACATGTTGGGGTCTGTCCGAACCTACCTGTAACAGTCAGCAAACACCATTTTTGTTGAGAAAGGACTGCAACCCTGCAACCCAAGCAACATCCACTGTTAATAGGATATACTCAACGCAGTACCCAACTCTCATCTGTCACATGGTGTGGATGTGTCCCTTCTTCGCCCTGTTTTCGAGGCTTGGGCATCCCTGCGGCTCTTGTCATCCCTCATCGTGGAGGACGACGCGGACGACGCAGCAGAGGCCTTGGCAGCTGCGGCGAAGGGCTTTCCGCCAAAGGAGCTGAGTGTTCTGATGTGGCCAAGACGGAATGGCAGCTTTTGTTTGATTGCGTACTTGAGCAGTGGCCACAATCCATCAAAACTCCCCAGTACAGGATCATACACGGCTTTTCACCTTGGCAAGCACCAAGGATTTCTCTACGCAGGTGGTAGGCAGTAGCTCCAACTTGCTCCAAAATTTAAAAATTGGTCTCTTTTTCTTTCTCCATCTTCACCCACCTATATGCACCATGATGCAGCTGGTCCGCTGGTCCCCACCGAAGCGGGTTCCCAGGCTGGGGCCCGCCACCAACCTGGCCATCGCTTTTCGACGCTTCCCATGGCTCGCGCAGCACCTGAAGCGCGTGGTGCTCATGGGCGGGGAGCTCACGGGGCGACGACTGGATTTGAAGCCTGGCAGTTGGATGGGCGTCGAGCGCTGCAGGGGCTGCGCCCTTGGACTTCCCTCGGTTCCAACACCACCGGAATCGTCACCAAGGGGTGCTATTGGTTGGGGTTGGAGGGGCTCGGCCCCCGTGGGATGGATCAACTGAAGTTGGTGAAGTTTGTGTTACTAGACGTGATCAACAAGATTCAACAAACCTTCTCAATGTGCATTGTAAGTAAGACCTCTTCATACGAGGGGCATTGATGAATCAAGAGCCTACATCAATATTACATATAATATACATTACATTACGGTATTAATTATATTATATATGATTCATGCACTTTTGATGGGGACGGGGAGAAGAGCCCAGGCAAGGAGATTGGATGTGCTTGGAGATCCGGAATGGAGATCAGTTGGGAATCTGGGCTTCTGACCTAACTTGTTGATCCAAAGCATCTTAGAATTTGTGAGTTTATCGATCCGGAATGTTCCTCCATGTACAGATCCAAAACATGCCGGGGTTTGAAATCGATTGAACTCCGACCGCTCCAAAAACACAGACACGACCGTTGGTAAAGGTCCTGGGAATTCTTTGCAACGTAGGCGGCGAGTTCACCGCTCCTGCGGATGGGACACTGTATATATAGTCCTGGATTGAACACATCTCAACACTTATTTACGGTTCTGATCAGTACCAAATACTGACAATACAGTATGCGCCGCTGGTTCACCAAATACAAGCCCGAAAGCCCGGAGCTGAAGAACATTGAAGAACCATATATATTTTCTAACACTATACTTAGTGGTTCAAGATGGTTCAGGGATAGTTACGGAACTGATATCTGTCGTATAACAGAACCATATAATATATATATGGTTCTGTAAGTACCTAGCACTACTTCCAACGGGCGCCCTGTTTGGAGACCTGTAAGTAGGGTAGGGTAGTCGAACGCCAGGACACCCAGACAGGATGACCCTGGTAGATATAAGTAGAATCTAGAAAAGAACCACAAAGTAGATTATTCCCATATATGAACCATCCTTCAGGATCCAGCCCGCCGTCTAGTCCCTGTGACCTGGGTGGTCCAGGTTGGCCCAGGTTTGGATCCAAAGACCTCTGGAAGAGATGGCAGAAGGTACATCCAAAGAACTGGAAACTGTTCCTGATGTTTCTCCATCCTATGTAAGAAATCTCAATTCAATAATTAACATTGGAACATATCAGGAAGAAACAGTTGTTTCTGGTTCTTTGGGTTTCCAGGACAGTCCCACCAAAAAGGACACCATTTTCACGCCCCAAAAGCACGCTCCTTAGCATCATATAGCATAAACCAATCCAAACCCTCGATCCAAACCGAGGCTCGTCGGGTCGAAACCGCCCGACGAGCCTCGCTGCGCCGGACCGCCGAGGAACTTCATGTCGGACCGCGCCGCGGCGCGCGAGGTGATCTCGGCCGGGGTGGGAAATCTCACCTTGGTGCCGATCCAGACCTGTGCGCAGGTGTCGGTGACACGACTTTTCAATACGATGTCCGGAGGGAGAGACAGCCAAAGGATGCCAAAGGTGCGAAGGCTCACAAAGATTCTACATGACAAGGGGTAGTTATATAAGTGAAAGATACCCGGCCCCAAACCATCCCAAACCAACATCGCACCTGCCATGAGGCTGTATTGGGGGAGGGGCCGGTCATCCAGTTTAAGCACTGAACGCCTTTTTGAAGGATTATGTCAATTCTTTTCAGGAGACCCATGGGGGATGTTCATGCATTTTCCCTTTGGCATGAATTCAGGCAAGACGCAGTTCGTACCCCAGAACCCAATAGGCATGAATGGAGTGCTGAACCGGTGACGGTGACGGCGTGCTAAGGTGACGGCGGAGTTTCTGCGCCGCTTGGAGACCTGCCCAGCCTCGGCCGCCCGCGCAGTGCTGCCGAAGATGTGTCTTGGATCGCCGCGGGGGGCCGCAGTGCAAAGGGCAAAACGCCGCAGTGCTGATGACCAGTGGCGCCTGAAGTTACGTGGGGGGTTGTTGGAGAATGCTGGATGTGTTTGGTGGATGAAGCAGAATTAAGGAGCTTCTCTGCGTCTGCGGATCTGGGAGCATGCTTGGAGCATAGCAGGGAGATGCAGGGAGGGCACCCTGCATGCTCAAGATAGCTGGAGATGGACAAGGTTTTGTGCCAAATACTTTGACAATAGAAGGATCCTGTATACAATCAAAACAGTCAGGAGTCTCCTATTATAGTTCCACATATGGGATGTTGTCCATCACCCGTTGTTTGCTCTTCCCGGGATTCCGTTCCAATGTTCATTGCTGGTTGAACCAACCCACCAACCTGAGTTGAAACACTGACGTTTTGAGGTACATATATATATATATATATACACACTATTATACACTGGATGTCATACACACTCAGCTTTTGCCACCTGACTCTCATGATTGAACCAGACTCTTATTTGTACTGGGGATGAATTCCCTGGATATCTCATTGTTCCCGGATCAGCCTGGGTTTCAAGGGTCAAGGTCTGTCCCTTTTCTGAGACGACTTGACAATGGATCAAACCCCCAACATGCGGTTTACAGTTCATCCACCGACCGGCCGTGGACTGAACAACAAAGATTCTGGCAACTTCAAGCAATGACCATGACATCCACCAAATAAGGAGAGCTCAGCATTGTTCCCTTTTCCGAGGAATTTGTTTGAAGCCTCCGGTGTCTTGTTTTTGAGACATACCCTGCAATGGTACCTCGTTGTAAAGGACCGGGTGATGCATGTCGTCCGTTTGGCTGCAGAGGTGGCTGCAGACTTGGCTCATGCCAAGCTTGGTGAACCGACGTGTACAGCTGGCCCTCAAGGGTTGGCCTGCCAGTAGCAACTTGGATCGTGGATTCATCCCTTGGGACGTGGTGGCCTTGATGGCCACGTTACGGCCAGACAGCTTCTTGGCGGTGAGAAGGGGTTGGCGACGTTGGCGGGCGAAATGTGCGTTTCGCTTGTGCGTCGCGTTTTGGACTGCGTTTTGGATCGCTTGTGTGTCGGGTTTTGGATCGCTTGTGCGTCGGGTTCTCGTTGAGCGCAACATGCAAAGTGCGGCCACTAAAGAGTAAGCTACTAAACTCAAATACGCCCGAGCATTAATGATTTGACTCCTAGATTCTGTTTGGGAAACTTAGCTGTTCAAAGATGTTCCTTGAAACGGAGGCCTGTACTAAACACAAGTTTAAAACTCATTGGACAAACAGGCTGTCCCACTTGGTGGCGAACTCTGTGTGTCGGTTGTGCACGGATGTCGGGTGTGATGATGTGGACATGGGGCAATCATTCCATTAGATTCCCCCCCACCACCCCATGGGCCAATCATTCCATTAGATCCTATTACCATAATCGATGCGCAAGTGATCCACTTTTTTCGATGCGTAAGTGATCCTCCAATCCTTAATTGATCCCTGATGCGCAAGTGATCCAAAAGTGGATGCACAAGTGATCCCCCCCGGCCCGTGGGTGCCGGGTGCATTGAATGTTGGGTATGGTCGAGGTGGTTTTGCGTGGTGAAATCGATGGGCGTCTTTCGTTCGCTGAGCCGTTGGGCGTCTTCCTTGCCTCTCTTCTGATGGACCCTGGCGTCCGGAGGCGCATGAGCGCTTCTTCGTAGGGCCGAATGAATGGAGATCCAGAAACGGGGCCAGCCCCAAAAAACCTATCCATGATTTTCGCATCAAAAGGGTTGGCCTGCTGGCCCAAAATGTCCGAAGCGGCCCAGGTTTCGACCAATGGGAGAGGCTCCACGTGTCCTTCCCTCCTTGCGAGCTGGAGCCATGCAATGGCACCATGTCCATCTCCAGTTCCACGGCCGATGGAGGTCCGGTGTGGGTGCCAAAGGTGCTCCGCAACGAGACCCTCTTCCTGGAAGAGATGTTGGACATGCTGTGCTCTGTCCCCATGAGTGGCCCGAAGCCGACCTTGCAGTGGGGCTTTCTCGTGCAAGTGCTTGGTGCCATGATTTCATTGTTGATTGGTTTGTTCTCGACTTGCTTGGTGCTCTGCAGAAGAAAGGAGAAAAAGGCGACAAGGAGAGCTGGAAACGGGAAGAGACATGCAGATCCACTGTTGGGGGTCTCAGAAAGGTCCGGTAAATAAGCAACATGTTGCAAACACTTGGAATATCTTGAAACAAATACCATCAAACAACCGCAAAACAAGAGCCAACACATTGTTAATAGTACCAGCAGTGTCTTAATAAAATTCTTAAGGCAGAGCAAGGTGGAGGAGAATAATATGTCACCGATTCAGAGCGCAAGCACACCCTGGTGATGAATGATCCAACACATTATTCAGCAGACTATATAGAGAGATCTAGAGAGTTTGTTGGTGATTTGCTGATGTTGCTGTCACAGCAGCCAGTCAAAACCACTTGTTAGGGCGCGAGGTGGCACATGGGATTCCAATAAGATGTAGAGCTCAGGATAGCTGCTCCGACTCCACCCTTTTTCTTCCCTTTGGCCGGGATCGGGGCCTGATGGGCAGTGACGTCCGACCCCAAAGACCCAAAAACCCAGGTCTCCTTCGGTCCCCAGAGGCGATCGCAGGATCACGCGAGGGCCCTGGGTCGACTTCTATCGCTTCACGTCCAACGACCAAGGCAGTGGCTGCACCTGGCCAGGGCGGCCGACAGCAAACGATCTTCGCCTTCGACGAGCGTCCGGCCGGGATCCCCGTCCTGATGCGGCGCGGCGGTCAGCGTGGCGGTAGAAGGGGGAGAAGCAAAAGGAGAGAAAGATGAGAAAGGGTCACACGGTAGCTGATGCAGCTGTTCAGTATAGATTCTACATAGATGTCGTTTGTTGTATTTCTTTTCCAAGCAGACAAATTGAGAGAGTGTACACTGGAGTGTTCATCGATCTTCGAGGTTCTCGGGGGTAGACGTCATATACATCATATTTCCGGGCAAAAAAATGGTATAAAACTGGTAACACCGTCTATAACCATTTTCGGACCCTCTGCTTTGCATGCGCAGGAGCAGAGCAACGCTCAGCCCTGGGTGGAAGAGCTGGGCGGCAAAGCAGAATCGGTGCGCACGGGGCTCCAGCGAAATCGGCAGCTGGGACCAGCGGGCCAAACGCCATGGCGACCAGCGGTGGATTTGGGGAATCAGAGTGGAACTAGGTGGCCATTGCTTGCTTCTTGCATTGTGGCGTGGCTGTGGGGTCAAGAAGTTTCTGGTCGGTGACGTCAGCTATTTACATTTCTATGGTTAAAATAGGTTTGAATTACATGTTTCCCAGGCACTCCATGTATGGAATATTATTACGGAATTGATTTACAAATTCAATCACTTATATTGACCCCGGTTCTACCACCCCTATATACTGTAATGTAAACAACATGGCATTCCCATCGGTCGTGAACAAGAATTTGCTATGTTTTTTCTGGTCTTTCTCTTTCTCGATGTCTTTTTGTGTCAACCCAGAACCACTGCGGCCAGAACCACCGTGAGGCACAGTGGAGTGCGCCGATTTGTTGCGGGTCTTCGGCCAACCCGTCGGGAGCCTGGAGTGGGGATGAAAGGCCGGAGCCTGGGGCGAAGACCTGGTGCTGTAATGTGGATTGTTGATTCACGTTAGAACAGAGGTTTTACCCTCTAAATGGGCGGTCTAAATGGGGGTGCTTGCTTGACTTTTGCTTTCAGGCGCTGCGAAGCAGTTGTTGGGCTGCAGCTCTCAAAAGGGTTGGTGGATGTTAGTGGGTTCAGTTTGGGTCGATAAACCATCAAAACTGGTCTATGAGATTCTATGAGATTTGACCGGATTTGATGAGTTTGGGATAGTCTTGGGAAGGAGGAATCGAACAGATGGCAACTTGTTGCAGCTTACCCAAGGTACCAGCATGGAAGGTGAAGTGAACCGATGTTTGAAGCATCGAAGACCGAGGTCTACATGAAGATTGATGTGGAGTCCAGCACCATTGATTGCCTGGACTCTTTGGTTCATGCAGCAGGCCCGGTGACCATCCCCTTGCAGTCCACTTTGAGAAGCCTAAAGATTTACTGTATACAATCCCTCCAACCATGATGGCTTCATGGAAGATGGTGCAGCAAGAAATCAGTGTGTTTCCTCCAATTTCAGGAGTTTTGGATTCGGATCATTCAGTCCAGATGCAGTAGACCATCAACCATATACCGTACCTTTCCATATCTTTCCATGCCTGAAGGGACGTGAAGGGACGCAAAGCATTCCCCACCGGGTGCGTATCCTGGGCTTACGCAGGTGTGTTCGGCGTGGTCCGTCAGCTTAAGAGCCTCTCCAGGCAGCCGAGCCATCCACCTCCCCAAGTTCATCTCCATGGAGTTGGAGGCCGATGGAGTTCGCAGCACCGACGAGTTGATCAGCTCAGCTGATCGTGGCCGGTGAAACAAGGGACGTGCCACCCGGCCACGCGCAGCCAAAGAAGGGCTGCTGAGGTCTTTGTCTTAAGGTAGATTTTAGCAGTGGACTCCCTAACGTTTCACAGCGGGTCACTGACATCAATTCCTGGTACCAAGCTTCTTTGGAGCGGTATTACTCCAATCCAAACATCATTTGGAGGCTCCGCCGGGCGCGGGTTGTGCCCGCCAAGCCGGCCCACCAAGCCGGGGCCCCAAGGCCGCCTCGCTCTTTGAGCGCTTTTATGTCAACCTGAAAGGCTTGGGTGGGGAGCCCAAAGCACCAGGCGGATGGGCCAGACGAGCACCAAGGACCAGCACCAGTCCCGTCCATTCCCGTGCCAGGTGCTGGGTGGGGACGGGAGCACCAGGGTGTAGGTGGTAGGGCCAGACTTCTTCTGATCCTAGCTCCAGTCCTGTCCCAGCACATGACTCAGCCAGGGGAGGACACCACTCATGCGGGGTGCACAACCGTTGTGTTCACGGGCGACCGAATCTTGGTCCAAACTACTGTTCTGTACCTGCATGACACCTCTTGCTCTATCTTGCTCTATCCAAAGCAGGCCAGCCGATTCGTCATGGGCCGAATAGGTCCTCCCCGTGTTGTTTCCCGGTGATGAGCTGCGATGGCCTGGTGCTGGAAGACATCACCCAAAACCATCCCATTGACATCCATTGACCTATATGGTGACGAGCCAAAGACTCCCGTGATCTCCTGTGCGATTTTCGGTGGAACAGAAGCGTCCCAGTCTGATCTATGGCCTGATCTGCGAAGCTCCTTGTGGTACTAAGGCTATCTCTACTACAAGGCATGTCGCCAGTGCGCCACAGTGCCAGACTCGCCCTCAACAGAAGTTTGTTACGTTGAACAACTTATTGATTGTGTGCTTTCTTCTACGCTGCTCGGTGGAAGTGATGGACAAACTTTGAAACTTGGAGGCGTGCGCTCTAATGGGAAGAAACCAAGAAGAAGAAGAATAGACAAATAATAATGATTAATAAGTAAAAATTAAGAAACATAGTAATTACATAGTTATTCAATGTTATTAAGAAGTAACAGTAGAAGAGGAATAACATAATCGAAACCACATGTAAAAACAGGCCTCGAACCAAGAAATTCGAGCATCCTGCAACATCTTCAACATCTTCAACTTGAACACCTCTGGGTTCGACGCTCTGGGTTCGACTTAGCAGGTACATCTATTCTCCTGCGCCTTGCGAACAGGGCCGCTACAGCCGTGAGGCCAGGCGACAAGGGGCGCAAAAGTGAATGGCGAGACCTGGGATGTTCACCCTTTCGCAACGAGCTGGAAGAAGAGGTTGAATAGCAGCTATAGCACCTCCCTGGACAATTGAAATCATGTCCTAGACATTCCATGTATGGAATATTCTATAAATGATTGTATATATATATATATGTATATATAACAGCATTATATATATATATGTCTACATTGGGGATCATTTGGGGCGGTTTCATGGGTCACTGTATACATGGAGTGTTTGGGCATTAAGACCACGAAGCACTTCGCCTTTCACCGCTTTTCTGGGGTCCATGGAGTCCATGGTGCCCACCGTTTTCACCACCCAGCTGCACCGGGGTCCGTGAGGTCCCTGGCTGCGGCAGTGGGCCCTTCGGTACGGCCGCCGTGGACTACCAGGAGGGGCTCAGGCCACAAAACTGATGGATACCGTGCTCCCGACGTGGGAAGACGGGTGGGGTGCGGCTTCCGCCAGAGAAAACGGCCGGAACGAGCAGCGAGTTCAAGCACGTAGGCAGTCGCGACGTTGGTAGAGCCACAGGATTCTGAGAAAACATATGTTTTTGATTGTTTTTGGAATCCCAAGAGTCCTCATGGAATAAGCAGGATTCTAAACGCTCTAGACTATAGTGACTAGAGTCGACTTAATCAATCTTTAAAACTACTATAGCTCGTGGCTGTTCTTCGTTTGCTCGACCACAGGTGGAAAGCCATAGATCGATTACCTTCAGACCGACAATGGGTGGAAGAGTTTGAACGTGGATTGGATTGGCTTGGGTGCCTCAGTTGATAGCTCTTGGCAGCCAAACATCAGAGCAGGAGCATCCCAGATTCCTTCCTTCCAACAGAACACTAATGAACAAACTCATCAGATGACATTGCTTTGCATATGACATAATGAGCTTCCAGCCGAACGGACCGAAGAACCTACCACCCTGACAATATCCATCGACTTGACCTCCGTTCGAACCACGCTAACCCGCGGCGTGGTTCGCTACGGAGGCGAGTGAAGTCACGGGTGAAAAACCGGGTGGGATTGAATCCGCGAAGGGGTGAAGTGCAGCAAAATTGCTGCGCGGATTCGTCTCATCACAGCGGGAAGAACAGGGATGGTATGAGTGTTTGGAGTTTCGAGCAGCAGGAGGGTGGCACATGTGAGCGACCCTTCAGCTCCAAAATACAAACAAGAAGCAAACCAAGTGGACTGTCATTGAAATCGGAATCTTCCGAACTTGAAGACTCTCGGCCATGCCGTGCCATGCCCATGAGAATTTGGGCACTACGAAGGGCGTCTCGATTTGTCTTGAAGTGGTACCAGAGATGAAAGGGGAGCTGAAGCATCAGACAAGGGCAGCCGACCCGGGATGAGGTGACTCGCAGCATGTTGCAGCGCATGTTGGGTTTTGGTTTGAGACCGCTTGCCCTTTTCAGTGGTGAAAAGGTGGCAGGCGGGCTGGGCTCTCTGCAGATGCCACCAAGCAGGTGGTCTCCTGATTGTGAGATGCTCTGATGCCATGGCCAGCTTTTACAGTGAAATGATGTGAAATTGACTTAGGACTTGGAAAATCACAGAGCCCAGAGATGAAACTCACAGTGAAATTTATTGTTACAATCCCAGATGATGAAACTCACATTGCACAGAGCCCGCCGTTGCAGGTTGCGACACCTTGGCTAAATTCAATGACCCGTTGGTACTTGTGCCGGCTGCAGCTTGCAGCTTTTCGGAGCTGAGATGGGCTGTGCCGGCTGCAGCTCCTGGGCACCACGGTGACCATCCCGGACTCGGCGGACCCGACCCACAACGCGGAGAGGCGAAGCCGGCGAAGCTGGAAAAAGACCGAACTATGTGAGGCACATGGCACATATCGTTCAAACCCAGGCCTTTCAGAAATTGCTGCCAATTGGGTCGCTTGACCAGCCCAAGCTCAGCTCAGTTTTTCGCGGGAAACTCGTGCCTTTGAAAGATGTTTGAAACGAGAGTCGACTTCCTTTGTCATTCAGTACAGCTGGTTTTGGACAGCCCCAAGAATGCTTCCATCGCTGAGTCACTGTTGAAAAGTAGTTGTGGAAGCGGCAGCTGCGTTGCCGTGGACTGGAAAGGAGTGTTGCCAGTCAAGATCTTTAAACAAACATGATATTGAATGAATATATAATTATAGTATATATTCATACTATTTCCACTAGTGACGCTTCATCCACAGTTTGATCATTACGCTATTCATATATTCATATATTATATTATCGCAACCAGTGACTCGTCAGCAGAGATACTGCTGGCCTACATGCAATGTTGACATATTCTCTCCAGGGTACATTGTTGTGCTTGAGCTGCATCTCTCAGTTCACGTTGTTCATTTGCTGAAGTGACAGACCTAGGGCGAGGAAAGGACACACCAAAGACGGACTGATAGGTTTGATGAGTGACCTAGTATATATATCGAGATTAAGGCCAAGGACCGGGATTATATAGGACATTGAAAACAAAACAAACAATGGAATTCACACATCCTTCATGTGTTTGAAGTTTTCGCTTTGTGTTTGAAAAGTCTTCCCCCAAACCGTTCAACGTCACACCCGCCGCCGAATTGACCGCGCGGTTCGGCGAAGCCGGGCGCGGTGACTGCGTGGTCTCGGCCCCGAGGTTCGACCTGCATGCGATGCGTCCAACGTGACGAGTATGGACGAAGAGACGGCGTCGGAAAGGAAAATGGGATCTGTGGTGTGTGTTGGCCGAGATTTCTGAGTTGAATTGTATTAGAGGCAGGGTTGTTGTTGGTTTATTAGATGGTTGGACAAGGGAAAATGCGGTCTTGCATCCAGTGAATCCACTGTTCATGTGTAGAGTCTAGAGTCTAGAGAAAACTCTCCAAAATGATCCAACACCGCTCTCATCATGGGTTTTGGCTCTAGACCCACTGAATAGCGCCGCCCAAAGCCGCTGGCGTGGCTGAAACAGCCAACCGTGACTGGGACTCTTCCCATCGATCGAGATTACGTGGGAGGTGCTTATGGCTATTACAAAGCTGGAAGCCTGCCTGTCGCCTTAGAGACTGCCGTGGGACGCGATCGCGTGGGACGGGGTCGGTCTCCGCACGGTCCAATGGTCACAGCTGGACCATTGGAGACTTCACTGGACCAGGACATGAAAGACGACATAAGAAGACCGTTTTCCTCCAAGTGGGGCTTTGTCAAGAGGTTTAGGGACATGAGACATGTAAGCAAAGTTTACAGCTGGTGGTTCAGCCTCCCTGAGGCTCCGTGTAAAGGATCATCATGTTGAATATGTATTCATATGAACTACTACGATATCGATCATGTTCATCATGCTCATCACCAACATCATCATCCGCTGGTAGGAGAACTCGCTTCAACCCACACCGGCCTTTCTTCACCCGAGGCCTTCACTGCTGGGTGGTGGCACCAGTGGCGCTTTGATGGTGCGACCACAGACCTTCTGACACCCCCCGAAACGGGCTGTTTTGCTGCGCAGAGTCGTTGGGGTTCACGGTGTTCAAAGGTTCTTAGTGTTTTTTGTTCAACCTCAATTGTTGTGTACCATTGTGTACCGTTGCCCAGACCATCCAGGTATGGCCTATACTGATACTGACCTGCGTTTAACACGCTTCACTAGTTCATACTGACCGAATACACCTCAATACTTCCATCCACCACCACCCCATCAGCGGCATGGTGGCTGCAGTGGCTAAAAATGGTTGATTTGTTTCATCATTTGAGAGACGATTCTTGCCTCAACAAACATGCTGCATTTGTGCGATTTCGCGGTCGTCCAGTCGAGACACAACGTGGCTCAGAGGGGGTTTCAATGATGGACCCTCCATCCTCGATGAAAACACCACTCTCCCAGCACCGGAGGCACGAAAAGGCTTCCAACCGACCTGTAGGGAGACCTGGAGGGAGACCTGTAGGAAAACCCATAGAATCGTGTGCTGGTATATCGTTTTATTAAAAAACAACAACAATACTTTTTCTGTTACATCTTGGAAGGCTGTGAATTCCACAATGGGACAAGGCAAGTGAGGCCCAAACGTGCCTGAATTGCTAACCATGTTTCCACTCCTCCTGTGCTCTCCAGTTGGCCAGTGGCTTTATGGTGGAGCACGATCCGCAGGACTGGGACGATCCCGTGGAGGATGCACACCCATCGGCCTCGCAGCACAGGTGTTCGGCCGAACGGATGCAGCCGGATCCCCTGCCATTGTTGTAAGGAACTGCGGGGGCCCTAGGGCCTTTAGGGTCGGTCCTACGCGTTTGAAGTCTTTGGAAGTACTGCTTATCTACGAACTGAATGGTTTGCCTGGATCTGGCTTTGCTTGGGGTATTTGCGCAATGAGCATCCAACCGGCCAGTCCGCTTTCTTATTGGGCTCAGCCACCAGCGGCCTTTTGAGCGTCCCAGGCTTAGTGCGCGATGACCGGTGGAAGGTTAGAGTTTCGGACACATCAGAATGACCTCAGGATCTGCTTTGGATTGACAAGGGTGGACCTACAGCCATCTACAGCCTCCAGACCCCTGGTCACAGGCCCAGTCTCCCAGAAAATTCATTTTCTTGGGGATTCATGGCGATGGCCAAAGGGGGTTGGTTGACACCGCTGGTCCTCGATGAGGCTGGCATGCTCCCACGCTTTCTGAAGAGCAAGAAGGCTGGACAGGATCGATGAACAATCCAAGTATGCTTTGCTGCAATGATGCTTTTCATAGATTCTGGGTGAACATGTTGGAGGTTCTATTTTTGCAGCCTGAGCTACTCCCAATATCTCCCTGCATATGAGATGATATGAGGATTCAGCCAAAGAAGTTGGATTTTACCAACAAAGTCCTGTACAAGGACATTGCTTGTTGCATCAATGGAGGGGTTTCACTCACGACACGCCCGCCTTTCCATATGCATTCCCAATGTTTTAAGCTTGATCCACACGAGAGGGTGTTACCAGGTAGGCCAAGCTGAGGGACCGCATGGCCTCGTTCGACCTCACATGGCCCCTGGGAACCAACGCGCGACGCGACGGGGACGTCAGATGATGCCGACCGGAATGGTCTCCTTGCTGGGTTTGATGGTCGGAGCCTCAAGTGAAGGCTGCGTGAGCGTCACAGGATCCGTCCGCCTGGAGGTCGATGGGAGGGAAGTCCCCACAGTGGAGGTCGACTGTTCTGAATTCATGTTCCTTCAATCCACTCATGCACTGATTTTCAACCCGACTTGGTAGGATCTGGTAGGTGTTTGGTGGTCAATGATAAACTCTACCTCACCCAACAGCTTCTCCCACCACTCAACCCCCAAGCTCCACCCCTTTCCATGATCTCCATGCCACGGTTTCACCGTGTTCTCGTCTTGAGCACCAATCGAGCGATGCAAAGATCGCACGAGGCCTTTGCCTACAATTGCATGCAGCTCCAGAAGTGGTGGGACCCCGAGGAGCCGACGCGAGGGATCCACGGTCCCTGGGTCGCTGGAGTGGTCGGAGATTGATTTTTTTTCAAACAAAGGTTTGGCTTCCAGGAGTGTCCAATGGATGGTTTTTGGAGGGGAGTTGACAGCTTCAATAAAATTGGAATGAAGAATCGAAGAGTCGTAGACGACAAAAATGAACTTCAAGGGCCGTTGTAGTGTTTAATTTGAGGATACTTGAGGTTACGTGTGTGTGTGTGTTGTTCTTTCAAGGACTGAAATATGTTTCTGTATATCATTAATGATTCCTCTTTTATTCCATCCTGGATGAAACTACTGGATACTGTATGATACTGCAAGTGTTTGGACTTTATTTGTCAGCTCGATGATATGTATTGTGTTTGTGATTGTTTGTATACCACAAGGTCAACAGATTTGTGTTGAACTTTCCTTAAGTTGTAAAGTTATGGCTCAGCTCACCCAATACGCTGCAGTTGACCTTCAAAAACGCAGATGAGTATAGTATAGTAATGTATAGTATATATGGCTACCATATATACATAGCTATAGAAGATTGAGTCAAAGATCGGCCGGTGCCGCACGTCTCATCATCGCAGGAGCTGCCCTTCCTGAAAGCCAAATGAGGCACCGACGGGGCGTGCTTGGGATCTTGGGGCCTGACCACCCCAAAACCGGTGCTTGTACCCCTCAGCATCAGTCATGTCCTTAATTGGCCTTAGTTCGGATGATGAGGATTCCTCTTTGGTCGAGGGAGTTGGTTCGGATGACCCCTCCCATCGCGAAGTCGGGAGCGTCTGGCATCTATTGAGCTTCTGGCACGTCCATGTCGACCAACGTCGTTGGTGTCACCACTCGTGGCGTTGGTGTCGTCCGTGCTGCGGCAAGAGGCAAGAGGCTTGGGTCCTGAGGGATTCTCAAAGGGCACTACGAACGGAGCAAGGACGCTACGAACGGGGCTCCTGGCCTTACTACTAGGAGCAAGAAGCTACTAGTCCGGTCCTCCACGGGGCGCAATTCAGCGGCGAGTCGGCCCAGCGACACAGCCAGCGGCGAGTCGGTCCCCGGAAGGAGAAAGATCGGAAGGTTTGAAGGCGCTGTGCGCTGTGTTCGATGGCTTGAACATGTGCTTTTGCTGCCGACATCAACCACAACGACCGCAACATTTGGAGCTTCATTTGGGAGTAAAGAGGGTGCTGCAAGAGGATAGTTCAGCCAGATTGAGAACACCCTGCCACTATGTGCCACTAATCTATCCAACGGGGTGAATGGGCTTAGGATTTTCTCACATCACATCATGCAACATTTGTCAAATGTGCTATCAGGCTATCATACTTTATCTAAGGAAGATGAGTTATATAATTCTTTGCAGTTGGGATATGTACCCTGATCAACACAACTCCAAAGGTTTCCCAATCTGGTGATTTTCACTTCTGCCCTTCTTAGCCAGAACCGACCCCAAATCCCACACACCCACGCAGCGAGCCGCATTCGGCCGCCAGCACTTGCTCCGCAGCGCGAAAGAAATCGCATTCGCAAAAGCGCCATGGCCAGCGGCCTGGCGGGGAAGGTGCGTCGCGCCCGCGAGTCTGATGAGTTTGACCTCAGTGGCTATGACCAGGCGATGGGTTTAGGGTTCAAGGGTGGAAGGATCAGTAGGCGATGGGACCCACCACTCTCACTAGATTTGCACATGATGGCACCTGCCAACGAGATCCACCAGATCTTCTTTAGAGTTTTTCATGGACTGAAGATTACAGGTGGTCAGCTGGCTGGTAGCATGAGATGTGGCCCAAAGTGGACCTCCAAGTTGAACTTTGGTGGAGGAGGATGTACTATGGTTACTATGGCCCATGGCCAATGACGGATCCACGCTATTGCTGCCATTTCATTTAGAGTCATTTGCAGCGGTTTCAGAGTAGATGGCACAAACCCTGCATGTCTTGGGCCGACAGGGGTCCACCTAAACCACCAAGCTTGGGGGCCCTTGTGCCATCTACTCTCCATCCACCGTAGTGGATATAGTGGCCACATGTGGCCACAGTAGCACATGTTTGGGGTAACTCAGCAGAAGCTACGGCTTGGAAGCACCCAACAGCGAAGCCCTTCACCGACGCCACCGATGGGTCTCACTTCCCAGCAAGTTATATACCATCAATCAAGTTACTATCAAGGTTCCTCCTTTTTCCTCAACACATCGCTGTTTCGGTCCGAAAAACTTCACCGGAAGCGCTTCCAGAAACCGGCCGGTTCAAGCCCTTCCCAGCCTGGCGCGGTCCAACCGCCCCGGAGGCACGGTGTCAAGAGCTGGCCAAGGATGCCTTCAGCGAGCCCTTCCCCTTGAAGGTGCTCTGGAGATCTCCGGTGGCACCGGTCGTTTGTGTGCAAAAAGCATGATTCCGGTTGGTCCTACGAAGCCAAAGCGGTTTTCGAAGGGAAAAGAGCACTGTGAAAAGAAGCGGAATGAATCTGAATTGATTCTGGTGACATTTTTGAAGTCTTGAAGTCTTTAAGGGCTCTTCGCTTGCAAATAAAGGCTATAGAAGGTTTGTGCACTTGTATATATGCTGTTGGCAACCTTTGGTATGGTCAGTCGGGCTAGCGAAAAAGCCGGTGAACCTCACCCAGTTCATACAGTACGAGGAGTGAACACGGCAGACATTGGATAGGCAAGCCTGAAATGGACTTCGCAAGTGGGTGAGTGGGTGTTTAATGATATGTATTAGGGAGACTTCCCAAAGAACCCCTGGAAGAACAAGTTGACAAAAACCCTTTGGTTGCGGGGTCTCCCTTTTCACCGAAAATCATACCCAAATCTTCTCGATTTGCGACCTGCCAAACCGGTCAAACTGGGCCATGATTTGGATCATCCTTAAGATCAGGTTTAAGTTATATAGTTGGAAGTCTAGTTGCACTAGTCACTATTCCTTTCAACCGTTCCTCACCAAGAGATACCAAGAAAATCTACTGTCCTTCTTAGATTCTTTCTCCAAACCTGCTCAGAAGCTTTTGCTACGATCTGCTATGACTATGACCCTATACTCGACTCCTCACCACGGCTAAGCCTGCCAGAAGTCTTCGCCTGCAGCCCACACAGGAGATGGTACGGATCTCCTTCGTGGTGGGCGGCGGGAAATTGGTGCGGCAGAAGTATTCCGACGATCTGCCCAAGCACATGGTGCGCTCTTTTAGTCAACGGACAGAGTCCTGTGGCGCGTGGGTCGGTGGTGGTCGGTGGTCGTTGTGAATGTGAATTCCGCTAAGCTGGTAAGGCGTGTTGCCTGGGCCAGCAACCTGGAAGAAGGGGTGAGAAGAGGGTGAGAACAGGGTGAGAACAGGGTGACATTCCAGAGTTTGGGGGGGTATGAATTCTGAGATTGTTGGTTCCACAGGGAAGGGATAAGATAAGATCCGCAAGCAACAATTATATACGATACAAACAACTCACTCCCAAAGGAACGCAGGAGCTGCACTAATTGATTTGGCCACTTGGCCCACTTCAAGTGGCCGAAGTGACCCAAGTGGCCGAAGTGGCCGAGGTAGATCTGAAGAAACAATTCTTCCTCCAGGGAAGAGGTCACATGGTCACAGCCGCCAAGTGACCACGTCATGGTTCACTGGAACATGCTGTACTCACAAAGTGTTAATCTCAAATATATACTACTATATATAATGAAGTATAATTCAAAAACAGAGTACTGCATGTGTATATATAATATAATGTATATATTCAGGCGATTTCAGGCGTAACTGGAAACAACTGACTGGAGTAAGAACTAGCCAGTAGTAATTTGTTGACATCATAAAGACCGTCGCTAGACCCAGCTCCTGGGCATAAGCCTGAGCATTGCATTGGCATATGTTAGCAATGTGTTTTCTGTGTGGTCATGTGATTTCAGGTGATGCCATGTTTGGTACTTCCGGTGCATGGGCGTCCATATGAGCCACGTTTTAAACCTCAGTTGTCATGTCAAGTAAGGAGATCCTTGTAAGGACCTGTGGCGTAAGCAAAACACTGGTGGGCGTAAGCCCGCGTAAGCAATTTTAGCCAATGTTGTTGGCGTAAGAGATTTTTTGTGATTTGTGAAATGGCAGTTTTGGACAAAGAACCTTTTATATTCCAAGCTTACAGCTTAACATACATCCATGGGATCACTGTCAGGTTGCTGGATATTTGTTTCCTCAATTGGCGGCAAGCTCCATGCTGCAGGTTGAATGTGATTCTGATGATTCTGCAAGATTTAATTGCATGGAAAACGAAATCATGATAAAGCCCACAATGAAAAGGGTTGTCCACCAAGACAAGGAGTTTTAACAACTGCACTGTACTATCGGATGGAAACAGCAATGTGCCCATAGTGTCATACCTTTTTCAAGACCTTCACCTCCAAGCTTTGTTTCCGGGTTGGAAGCCTAAAATCCACGCAAGGTCCGCGTAAGGTCCGCGTAAGCCAAAGCTGCTTTTGCCAGTAGTTGCCCATGTCTCCCAAACACAAATCATTTTCGCAACTTGGTGCAGAGCGCCAGTGACTTGTCGCAAAGACCGTCTCGGACATTTTGGAACAACATTGCCCTTCTCTGGATGAAGCACACCTCTTGCCGAACAAGGCTTTCTCTAGATGTCAATCTGTCCTTCCTGGCCTGTCCGCTATCAGTGGTGCCCAGTCTGTCTGTCATGCCCGCGCGCTCAGCAGAGGTGCTGCCAAGAAGCGTCGTCAACTTCGTCATCTGCGGGCTTCTTCTGTTGCTGCGTCTTCATCGGCTTCATCTTCTTCGTCCACGTCATCATCTTCTACTGCTTGATGCTGCCTAGAAACGCTGCGGTTCCTGCAGGTAAAAGTTGCTGCGCGTAAGCTGGGGCTGTGGCCCTGTACTAAAAATGTCCAGCGTAAGGTCTGCGTAAGCCGGTTTATTCCGCGTAAGCAAAACTGCGCACGCGTAAGCAAAACGTAAGACGCGGCGTAAGCGTTGCCTTGTTTGGTGCCGGGATATAAGACGTTTAAAACACAGCTCATATGGACTGCGGGGCGTACTATCCATACCAACACGGAAGTGAATCGCCGGCTCGACAGATGGCGCGTCTCGGGTGCGTGAGGTGAATGCCTTGAGCGCAGTGGGATTCCAAGAGGACGGTCCCGGACTTTAGTCGATTTCAAATCCAAGCGCAGTGTGAGGGTTGCTGGATCCTGAGAGCTAACTGCGACACCAGTCAGGATCAGGACATGTCGTATCGATTCAGATGCCCCGTCCCTGTCGGGGGTATAGGCCAGACATGTCCGCCATCGTAGGGGAACCAGGTACATAACTGGCCAGTTTGGTAGGTGTTTAGTTCGTAGGCAAGGAATAGGCAATTATATAGATGCCAACTATAGCAATATGATGCAATATGGAGTGTTTGGGAATCTGCTTCCAACAAGAACATAGCAGTTTTGGGACGTCCCAGGGCCATGTACGGATGGATCCTCACTCGCGGAGCCTTTTGGACAGTTTCACAACGAGTGAGGTGTACCGATCTTTATGGAAGGCCCTAACTCTGAACATCTCTTAACCCATGGAAGGAGCTTCAAGGTCATGGCTTCCCGGTGCCTTGAGAAGCCTCCAGCAGCCGCCCGGTCCTCCTAGGCCTCCCTGGATCTCCATGGATATCGATCTAGGATCGGCCAGACATGTGTGGCATACAGTCCCTGGAATAGTAAACAATATCTTAAACTATCCTGCCAATGTTCAGTCTGACATTGGATCAACGTTCATGGGCAGCTTCGATGATTTTTTTGTGCGGCTATTTCAGTGACGTGTCTGTGCCGCGCCTGGAAACATCCCAGCCTGAAAAGTCACCAGATTCAGAGTCTTTCATGAACCCCCCCCGCTACTAGGAGCAAAGGGCATCGCTACTAGGAACAAGAAGCTACTTAGGAACCTCTCGAATTGTGAAAGATACGAAACATCACTTGCCATCCGACTGTCGGCACCTCTGTGTTTTTTCTCCAATGGTGCCGACAGTCTACGGTCTATACCGTGTTGGGTCCATAGAAGCCACTATAATCAGTACATATCAGTACACTCCCTGGAATCATCACGATAGTGGAAAAAGCATTTGTTTGGTATGAGGAAAATGGTCATCCTTTCTGGGCCATGCCATCCACGCAGCGGCTGGTCATGTCTTAAGTGTAGTGAGTATTGAGATATATTGAGCCATCACCGGTTCCATCAGATTCCTCTAGTATCCTCTACTCAAGTCTCCGGTTCCAGGGCCGGCGTCCGGGGGCTTCACATCCATCGTTGGATCATCGTTGAATGGCTGTCCTGCAACGGTCAGTGAAACAGACTAAAATAGGATATATGCTAATAATACATATGATGGGTTTGTATATGTTTCTATTGAAATGGGAAGATTTCCCGAAAAAAAAAAAAAAACAATGTGTAGACTCTGATCTATGTTTGCCCTTTCGATGATGAGAGGAGTTTATAGAACCTACAGTGAAATCTAAATGCACACTATAGAACTGAAGGACAACATCTCGCACCACATCAAATCTTGGGAAACATCGTGGGTTCTATTTGCTGTGCCCACACACGGAAGGGTAAATGTCCATGGCGGAGCTGGATATCCCCCTTTCACCCCATCCATTTTTTGAAGACATTTATATACGGCCGGCATTTCCCAAACTTGCCACACATGGACTTTCCACAACATGAAGACATTCCAAGACGACGTCCAAACAAGTGTTCTCGCGATCCTGCTCTCGCGAGGACAATAGTGCCACAGTGGAACTCAGCTCGGCAGGGAAGTTCAAGTACCACCATGTCACTTGGATTTTTTGAAGTGTGGACTTGTGGCGTAAACTAACAATAGTGAATCCTGAAAATATTGAAAATTCTAGCAACACCTGTTGGCGTCCCAGAACCAATTTCAATGTAGAGAGTGGGATATGATCTATCTCAACTGTTGGTCGAACGCTTCCTTCGACAGCAAGTTAGCAAGTTGCCCTTTCGGGGGACCATCACCAAAGTAGTAGCCACCTAATCAATACATAGAAAGGACTTGACCCATCGCCTTACGCATCGTCAAGAGTATATTTTTCAAGGGCTCAGGTGCCAAAGGATTACCAAGATGTACGTTTTTGCTTCAGCAGGGCAGAATAATCACACCATGTTTCTGGTATGCGATTACTCCCAGGCAGGATGACATTAACAAACTGATATCATGAGGTCCCAATGCAGCTGGCCTGGGGTGCGCCAAGGATACCAACAAAAACCTCAAGTTCGTCCATGTCTTTCCCAAGCTGATGGAAGAGGCTTCGGATGGTCCGACGTTCTTTCGACCAGGTCTGGAGAATGAGAGAGAGAGAGAGAGAGACGGACAGACCGACAGACCGACAGACAGACAGACAGAGAGAGAGAGAGAGAGATTGATTGGTTGTGTTCAGTACCAGTGGAGTTCTGGGCTGCTTGGAAAGGACGTTGGGGTTTGGGGTTAGTGCCTCCGTCCAAAACCTGTGCGACCTTTCAACTGTGGCACGGCACCCCACCTTCGGCACTGCACCTTCCAAGGGTTCACCTGTTTTTTTGCAAAGTACTGAGGTAACTCTTGAAAAGTTTGTTTCCCCCCAAGGGGTTTTTACTAGCTGAACTGGTCACTTTGTGACACTGAACCAGTTTCGGTTCTTGGTTGAATTGAGCAAACCTGTGCAAACACATGCACAACAGATATTGCACGAGTTACACCAAAGCATTGTAGGTTTGTGCCACTCCCTTCTCGAGCAAACATTTGGCATTCTTCAAGCTTACTGTGACTTGTTCCCCTCCCATTTGCTTTCTCTCTTTCCCCCGTCTCGGCAGGCGGCCACGGCGGCCCGGCCCGAGGGCGAGGAGGAGGCTGCCGAAGCACCGCGTGGTGCTCCAAAGACGCCGGAAGAGCTCCTGCTGCAGCCGCTCGGCACCCGGAGCTATCCATACTGCAAAGTTCCACCAGCCTTTCTAGTAAAGCCTCTTTGAGCCAGATCACTGCTGCTTTAGAAGTTCAGGCTACCAAAAACGCACAGTTTTTGTCTTATATACATCAAAGTGCCGGATGACGGGTGCTTTTGCCAACCGTTCTCCGCACACGCCTCTCCCGGGAAACGACATGGTGACCTCAGGGGTTCAGCGTTGCTCAACCCCTTTGCCTAATGTGTTTTTCTTTTTTACACCTCAGACCTCTAATACAAGTGATTAGCAATGAGCTCAATTCTTTTGAACAACATGATGAAAGCACAACCTTTTGCACAAGTAGCTCATGTGACTAGCTCCCTCTTCACACTAAACCAACCATCACTGGAATCTCACTGGAATCTTAGAGCAGGGCTTCAGCACTCCCCGGGGGATGTCGCCAAATGAACAAAAAGGGATGTTCATACCAGGTTGGTGCAAAGAACGCCTACGCTGGAGCCTCGAGGGTTAAGAACACGGAGGCACAAAAAGCAGAACCATATTGAACAACCTTTTGGGGAAGCAAATCAAAACAAACATGGTAAACAAAGAAAGAAACCAATCAAACAAACACACAAATCATTTGTGTTTTTTTTATTGCGGCATTGCGTTTTATTTCATACCTCCTTGTCACCTGACGCTAGCCCCCGGTCAAAAGTATTTGTATGTATTTGTTGACATGTGCCTCCCCCAAAAGTCGCCTAAGCACAGACAAAGGCGGCAGCATAAATTTCGGTGCAACAGAAGTTCATATATACAGCTGGCACCTGGACCGTGAGTTGATCATACCAAAACTATCATACCAAAATTGCATGCTCTTATTTGCTGGAAAAGGCCGAATTGCAAATGATATGCTCGCTTTGGCACAAGCTGTGTTGCGTCAGTAGGAAATTCATTTTCACCTCTACTCTCCGCCTTCAACGCATAAGGAAAAAGAGGAAGGAGTACCCTTTCTCTTCAATGCCCACTGGTTTCACACGCACATGGACAGAGGCACTCTCACATGACTTCGTCATCTCACACACCTTCATCGCACACTCAACTCACATATACATTCACCTCACACCTGCGCGGCCTTGGTTTGACAGGGAGTTTTTTCCCCGCTTCACTACAGACTTGCTTTCGCTTCAGACGTCCAAAAAAGCTTCCGCAAAAAACTTTCACCACAGACTATAGTCGCGCGACTTCCGCGCACGGATTTGCACCAACCTCGTTTGAGGTTATTCGGTCCTTATTGTTTGAGATATTTTTGTATCTCACCCGGTATCTTCCCACTCAGAACTTCCGTGGTTTCTGCCAGGGATTCTATGTTTTACTTTGGTTAGTGGTCCTTGAGTACGCTCTGTCTTGAACAGGCTTGGTTGCTTCCGAGGGGTGATGAGCGAGGCCGACTTGAAGCTTCAGAAGTGCACAGTTGGCGTGGCATGTTGCCAGGGCGGCCCAACCATTGGGTCCAAAGCCCTTGCATCCCAGGGCTCAATCTGCGACGCCCAGTATCGGCTGTCTCTCCAAAGGCTTGTCGTCTTTGGAAGCCATCTGCGCGGGCAAAGTCCCCGAGGACAGGAGATTTCGATGCGCAGGCAGTTGTGAGAAATTAAACTGTGAGGCGTGGCTGTGGTTGGAGTTTCTCATAGGCCCTGGTGGGGTGTTACCACGAGCTTGCTTTCTGATTTCACCTCTCACGCTTGTTTGTTTTGCTTGGTCCCTGCCTTGGCTTTCCATCTCGAGAAAACGACAGGTTCGGCCGTTGCGAACCAAGGGCCGTTGCGAACCATGATTGAGGCTGGGTTTTCTGAACACTCTGACCGTGGAGAACCCAAGTGGCCAAAAACATGTACAATATACATTCCAAATGTATGTTGGCAAAAAATGTATTATACACTGCCAGGATGTATTTTGAAGAAATGCTGCCAGCAGGGATGTATTGTTCAGCAAACAAGGTTGTATTTTGCAACATGGGATGTGCAAAACAAATCCTGGGTACTTTGAGAGTTAATGTCATCACCACCCATTAAACACTTGCACAGCGCAATTTGTAGGAAGTGCTTGAGAAGATTGTTTTCTTGTGTGTGTACATGTAATGACCGGGCATGTACTTTTTTTTGCACAGCATATTTTGTAGAAGTGTCTGATGCAGAGTGTTTCTTGTGCGTGTGTTGACAGAGAGAGCTGCACACGCATTCAATTTTGCAGTTTTTTGAATTTGTTGGACACTTGCTGTCTGTTTGACGCTCGTCCGCTTCCACAATATCTTGGCTCTTCAATCCACGACCCGGCCCCTTCCTACAAAAAACCCATTCCCTCTGCCCACCCACTTTGAAGGAACACAATTGCCACCACAAACTTTCTGCCCCCCATCCACCGTCAATAACCAGTTACAAACCCACCAATCACTGCTCCAGAACTGGCGTTGCTTCTAAAGGTCCTTCGGTCCCCCACTGTTTTTTCTTCTGGCTCAATGTTGAAGCGAACCTAACATAGAACCAAATCACCACCACTCCCATGATTAACTTGTCAAGCCTCCCACTGATGTGTATCTAGACCATACTGATGCTTTTTTGGACACACGCGTTTGATCTCAGCAACTTGGGTTGAACCTTCATGGGCACCGGAGGAGCGCCCCAAACATCAAAAAACATTGAGCAACAAATGCATTAGCTTTGCAACTCGCTGGTACGTGCACCATGGGCTGCGCCATGGGCTGGGTTAGCTAGCTGATGGCCAGAGGAGGACAGATGACTTTCATCGAGGTGAAACAGTGAAGCTTGATTCAACTTTTCTTCATTGAATCTGTTATTTGTTTTCAGTTGCCATAATTGACATCAAATGACCAGGATAGTACAAAGGGGAACGCAAATGCAAGACATCCCTCTTTTCACAACACAAAGCTGTACAACGCCGTGGCACCAAACACATGTCACGCACTTGCTCTTCCGGCATGGCCGCCATGGATGCAGAAGTGAGGTCGCCAACAACTGGAGTTGATTCTAATTAACTTGGGCTGCATTTCAACATAGCAACATGACTTTAAGCAGCTTGGAGCAACTCCAGCTCTGATTGCCAAGGAGTGCGTGAGCGTGCCGGAGTGCTTCTCAAAGGCGGCGCCGCTTGTGAGGAAGAGGCCCAGGTGTTCTGGCTTGGCTTCAATTGCGTGAAGAGACTTTGACTGATCATAGCTGGGAGGCCCTGGGATGCCATGATGTGGACACCTTCAACTTCAAAGGAGTATTGTGTTCTGCTTGGTGAATTGCTGCCTTGATTGATTTGAATGCTCTTTGATACTTCTTTTGCGCGCAGGCGACACCACCTTCCATGTACATCATGGGGGTAGCTTCAGAGGAGTATTGTCTTCTGCTTCATGAAATGATTTGAATGC